CATGCAGGCCAGCAGGTTGAATATTGTGTGTTTTTCTTAACATTTTAAAGGAGGCTCTATTTCTTTAGAAAAATCCCTCTTAAAAGTGCTTTCCCTGCATCCCAAATATTAGACCTGGTCACTTCAGATGTTAGGTTAAACTGAAAACAATCAACAATTCTTGTTTAATAGCATTTATCAATTCATGGTGCAAATAGATCTTATTTACTCTCCACTGAGTAGGTTCAGCCAACATTTTCCTGGAGCCTTGCAATGCGTGCGTGATTCATGTGCAACATCGGTTTGTGTTAGCATCCTTCACTTCATATTTTGATCTGCTTCTTAGATTTGAATTGATCAATTATCTGAAACAAACAAAAAAGACCAGAATTCAGTGACTGGTAATTTATAGGAACTAACTAACTGACCTCAACTAAGTGTTTTCCAGTTGTGGTGGAATACAGATCCTATCATTCCCAGGCACCCTACATGTTGTGGTCCAACACTCTGAAGGACACCAAGTTAGATAAGCCAGAGGAAGCTGTCTTAGGTCTTTGAGTCCCTGTGGAGCATGCTCAAATTCTTGTTCATTTCCGCTGGGCTCTTATTACAGATCCTTTCCTGTGGATTCTGTGTGCACATATGAATTTTAGGGCAACTGTATTTAGCATTTAGTGTTTTTTTGCACAGAGAGTGTCAAACTGGAAAAAGATAGATTGAGAGTTATGGGAGCGAATGTTGCCATCTTGTCCTACTAAAATAAACTCCCCATTAATACAAGAGCAGTTGAGAATTAGAAACTAGCTTTTCACCATAAAAGGAGCCGAATTCTCAGATATTGCCCTGTAGCTGAACCATCGTGGGAGTAGAGAAACCTTGTTTGCATCTTAAAAATAAAAGGAAGTTGTGTGGGTATGTTTTCTCCCAGCCCGTCTCCTCACAAGTTTCCCACTATGACCCTAAAAGCACCATGGATGGACAAGAGGAACCAGAAGAGCCTCTTATTAAAACCTTATGGACATTTTAGCTGATGCATGTGCCTGACATCCCAGTGTTGCACAGAATATGCAAGGGCTGAGAAAAAGCGCTAGACATTTGTACTAAAAAAACCCCACACTGTTTCCATTTCTTAGCGGAGCTCTTAAAACTACAGGGGCCCTGTCTTCCGTTCCACCCTGTATATCAGAAGTGTCGAACATCTTGTGGTACAAGGACTGAATTCCTTTTTGGAGAAGCTTTGGAGGCCCACATTTTTGTTGGGGCAGGGCCAAAAGCAAAAGCAGTTTGGCCAAAATACCAGTCGCACCGGGCGATTTTCGGTGGAAGCTCTTAGTGCTGGATGGAAAGGCATTTCGGGTTTTTAGAACAGGTGCCTGGGGTGGAGTTATGGGGCGAGACTGTGCCCGGTGTACCAGACTGTGTCCCCTGCAGATTCACTCTGTGCTCCTGAGGTTGTCCACAGGTTTTGAGGTTTTCACCTGATGAAATCCAGCACGGCTCCACCAGCCGATTCCTGACAGGCCCTTGCGCTTGTTGTTTTAAAAAGATTGTGATATCATAGTGCTTTGCATATTAATACGACAGTGAACCCCATAACGGAGAGGCTAAGAAATGCCACTTTCGGGAAACAAAGAACCTTGTAGAAGCTTAAAGCAGCCTTCCCTGACTTGGTGTTCTCCAAATACGCTGGGCTACATCCAGGGTGATGGGAATTGTAGTCCAATACCTATGGAGGGTGCCATGATGGGGAATCCAGCTTCTTTCAAGGAATAACACATTTTCTGTGGGCCGCAGTCTGCTTTGTCTGATGCAAATTTCGGTGGTCAGAGCGGAGAAGCTTGGCACAGAATGCGTATGAGTAAGGAGTCCTTTTATTTTCTCTTTTTTCTCTTTTCTCTGAAGATTGACACCCCAGCTTCCTATTAAATATCCACAGCTGCCAACAATTAGGGTAAGGCTACCCCCGCCAGCTCTAAATAAAAGAGCAACCAAAAAATTAGTATCAAATACCCTCAACTGAAACTGTCCAAAAAGCATCCCAAGACAGCAGGAGAATGGAAGCGCCGGGGACGAAACTGCACATAACGTTTCAGACATAAACGCGCTTTGGCCGGCTGTCCGTGCGCGAATGGCGAAGAGGCCGTGGCAACTACCGAGGCTTTGTTTCTGCCGAGACAAGGACTCTTTTGAGACTTGGAAAAGTTGAATGGGTGCATTATCTGGGGTCTTGCTGAAAGCAGCCACAGGCTCCTTGGAAGCGGCAGCACCGGCCTTGAACCAGCAACTCTGGTAGCTAACTGCAGCCAGCCAAGCAGGCCCGGCGGTGCCATCGTGTTTATTTATTTATTAAAACATTTATATGCCGCCCCATTCGCCGAAGCCTCGGGGAGGCTTACAACATAATAAAAATTACAATAATAACAATATAAAATATAAAATAACAATATAAAAGAAGTCGCGCTGGCCAGTGTTGTGCTTGACAGGTGACATGAGGGGGCCGACAGAATTTTGCCTCGCCCCATGAATCTTCAGGCCAAAGTTGCCCTTCTCAGTATAAATCCGTGTGGTGTACTGGTGAAGAATGTCGGTCTGGGACTCCGGTGATCTGGGTTCAAGTCCCCACTCTGCCCCGGAGCTCATTCTGGACCAGTCACAGACTCTCAGCCCAACCTACCTCACAGGGTGGTTGTTGTGGGGCTAAGATTACAGGCAGGAGGAGGAGAAGGATGTAAGCGGCCTCGACTTTCTTGGAAGGAAAACAAGTGGGATATAAATATAATGAATAAATAAGCAACGTGGCTTTCTAGAGGAAACCAAGTGGACTTTCGCGACTCCCGATCATTGGCAACTGCTGTCAGGAACTTGGAAGAACGAAAGTTGGATAAACAGGATCAGTTGCAGCCTCGACATAATACTATTTCTTTAAAAAATCTCTTTTAATCCCATTTTATCCCCTCTTGGTTGTGCAAACAAACGAACCCTGCCGTGCCCAAGGAAGCGAGCAATGCATCTGTGTTTCTAATTTTTTGGAGGAAAAAATGGGTCCCCATGTTCTGGGGCTTGTTAGAGTCCTCAAGGGAGAGATTCCACATACGGTCAGGACCTGTGGGCTTCCTTTCCTCCGTGTTTACATTCTCTTCCAGTTCCCTGGAAGTCTGAAAGTGAAGACAGCTTCCTCTGTGGACAAGCGCCAAGCTGGCTAAATGCTAGGATCCTGCTAAATATCTTTTGTGAAGGCAGGGACGGGCCATATCGGTGGGAGTCCTCTCCCCGCGCAGGGAAAACCCTTAAAGTCAAAACAAAACAATAGCATTTTGTTCCGTCTACATTTTGCTTCTTTACGGCACTCAGATGACCTTCCTGAACACTGAACTATGGCAGAGGCTGCTTTTGCCTTCCACAGCAGCCTGGCAAAGGACGTTTTGGCTTGAGGGCCAGTGACTTGATCAGAGTTTTAAACATGACAACAGCGGCAGAACAGGGCCTGCAACGCATCATCTTCTCCTTCTTAGGCCTTGTTTTTGGAGTTGCTGGTTGAGGAGCTGGGAAATTCTCAGCTCAGCCAGGAGCAAAACTGAACGCTAATGATGCATCACTACAAATTCCTTGGCTTCCTGAAAAGGGCCCGCAACTTGCAACCCAAACCGCAGGCATTAGATTTTCTTTTCTTAAGGTTCATGATGTGTTCCGCCCACCTAAAGCAGCGAGGATCCCCATCTTACTGTTGATTTGTTTGCTATTTATATCGCTTCTTGTTGGATATTCTCAAAAGTATGACCCTAGGAATGCCTCCTGGGAGGTTTGTCCCCCTGCATGAAGCTGAGAAATGAAAAACCTGAGAACACCATTGAAAGGGGCCCTGGAGTGATCCACCCCAGCCCCTGTTCTCACAAACACAGAAACATAAAATCAGAGTGAGTCAGAAGGGGTCTCCAGGGCCATCTAGTCTGACCCCCAGCTCCAGCCGGCTACGCTCACATTTGTCCAGCCAACTTCTTCACTACCAAACTTAACTTCTCCTGTTGCGGATGTTTTAAAAGTTCTTCAATGTTTTCAACTATCTCAAAATTACAATTGCAAAAGATATTGCAAGTTTGAACTGCAAAGTCTCCCTTCGGTTGTTGATTCCCGGACTTAGTAATCGCTCCATGTTGTGACAGTGAATTTCAATTATGTACCGGGTAGGACAGTATTTCTTGTACGCCTTCCAGCAATTACTTCATGCCTCTTGATTTCAGTTCTTTTATGAAAGGAGAAACATCCGTCCCGTCTACACTCATCCAATCTAATTTATTTAATTGCTTAAGGCATGAAATTCTTAAGGGGGGGATGCCTCCACCGTTTGTAAGGGCTACAATTGAAAGAAAGAAACCAAGAATGCTTGCAAAACTCTCTACCCTTCCTGAAACTGGAGCTGCGCTCGACCAGGAGGAAAGCGCGTGGAACTCACTGGCGCTTACTTCCGAGTAGACCACAAGATTGCAATGCATTGCTAGGTCTGCTTTATATCCGGCGTCCCGTTTCCTCCCGGGAGCGGAGCTCGAGGCAAGGCTGACGCATTATTTTCGCCCTGCTGTTCCCAGAGGCAGTTTATATGGAACCCCAAAGGGCGCGTGTTGGGTTCGCGCTACTCTCGCCCCCCCCCCGCCCGCCCGCCCGCCCGCCCGCGCTGCCCGCGCTGCCGAAGGTCGTCCCGGTTTAACGAGCTGCAGGCTTGCACCCGCAGTGCCCTCCCTTCACAACAGCCCCGCGGAGCAGGACGGGGGCCGCGCCGCCACGCTTCCCGCCCCGCCGGGCTTGCGCGCACGGGCGGCGCACGCCAGGGGGCTCCCTGCGCGCTTTCGCTTTCGGGCAAAGCGGCGCCCGGAATGCGGCGGCCCCGCTTCCTCTCGGCCGAGGAGGAGCCGGGGCGGGCTCTTTAAGCGTCCTTCTCCGGAGCCTCCCGCGGCCGTCCCCCATCGGCTTAGTCCCCGCCTCGGCCCGGGGAGAGGCAGCCCGAGCAGCGGCCGCGGTTCCGCACGGGCGGCGGGGCGGCGTCCCCACCCAGCAGCGCGCAGCGATGGCCGGGGCGCGCCCGGGGGTCCACGCGCTCCAGCTGGAGCCCCTGCGGGTCCCGGAGACGCTGATCAAGGGCAGCAAGTTCATGAAATGGGACGAGGTGAGTCGGGCCGGCGAGACGCCCTGCCTTCCCCGCAGCCGCTGCAGGCTCTTCCGCGCGGAGCCGCGGCCCCCGGGCGCTCGTGGGGGAGCCCCCTTCCAGAGGGGAGGGGCAGCCTGCCCAGGGGGCGCGTCTCCCCTTCCCCCCAGCCCGCTCCACTCCTCGCAAGCCCCTTCTGGGCGACAGATCTGTCCCCGACCTGCCCCTGCGCTTTCGGTCCGGCTCGCGTTACTTTTGGGAACCCACTTCGCTTTTCCAAAGGGGTGCGCAGAGCGCGGCTTTCCTTCCTCCTCTCCTCCCGCTGCCTCTTGCCCTTTTCGTAGGGTGGGCATCTTCCTAGGGAGCGACCCTGCTTGCGGGATAAAAGGGGTCCCCTCTTCCTCAGGGGCTGAATTGTCCGTTCACCCCCCACGCGCTGCGCCGCGCTGCGCTTCGGAGAGGATCTTCGTTTTGAGTGTGTGCATCCTCGCTTCTTCCCCCTTATCTCAGAAGACACTCCTAAATTCCATTCCGTAGAAGCTTCCTAATTCTTTATATTTATGAGGTTTGGGCTGGAGCGGGCGTGCGGGGGGGGGGGTGGATAGGAAAGGAGCCCTCTCTCTTATGCAGACTTTCCTAAGGCAAACCAATCCCCCTTTCCTATATCTCTGCATTTCCCCCATTGTTTTTCACAGGGGACCCTCGCACACACACACTTTTCCAAGGGACTGAGCTCTGTGGAAAACTGGAAACCTCCCTCTTCCTCAACATACTTCCTTAAGTTTTCTTTCTCCATTTCACTCACGGGGACACCCCTTCCCAGTTCCTAGTTCTCCACAGTAGATCAACATTGGTATGTGGAGGAGATCTCTTTGTTTGTGCTCCTTTGATTTATATGCAAACAGTGGGATTTTCTTGGGTGGGGAACAGCCTGCTCTTTTCATGGCACCCCCTTATAGAAGTCTGTGTGCAGAAGAGCACCCCAAATTGACCCGCCAAGTTCTGTCTGCTCGCCCAGCCCCAGTGCCCTGAGATGTGACCTCTTGGAGGCTCCCTAGATCGGAGCTGTCAAAACACAGAGGGGTTGATTGGCGTTTCCTCCCGCTGGCTTCCGGCTTTCCCTGGCCAGACCTGCTCGCCTGGGTCCTTCTGGAGAAGCCCCTACTCACGCACCTTTCCCTGCTTTTCCATGCCCTCCTTCAACTTTCCCCCAAACCGTATGCTTTTGGGTTCCCTGCTCTGGATTATTTTCTAAGAAATTGCCATGTGGGGTGCAGAGTCTACGGAGACAAGAACTGTGCCCCATTGCATTTTGGTAGTCTCTCTGTGCATGCTTTCAGTGGGGTTTAAAGGGTGGGGGGAACGTGTGGATGCTCTTGTCAGCAGATAGCCAGTCTCCCCGAAAGTTGTGTGCCCCGCAAGTTGGTCTAATGCTGGGAGGTCTTGTCTGTTTATCTGGAAAGAAGGAGTTGCCCGCTTGAATAAGGGTGCTCTTTGCAGAGGTCTTGATGCTGGGGCTCCCCGGGAAACAGCGTTCTGCTGATCTGTGGGTACAGTGCACGGGGCAGATGTGGGAAGGTGTGTTCTGGGGGTGCGTATGTCCGGACAAACGTGGAAAAAGCCATTTCAGCCCATGTGGGATGGGCAGCCAGCGGTGCTTTTTAGACTCTGGCCGTCGTCATCTTGCGGGGAGGGAACACTCAAGTGCACTAATATATTTATTTTATTGCTGAGGGTGTGATCACATGCATAAAGGCCTACCGCTTCCGATATGGTCCAGCTAGTAAGTCCTAACCAGCCTGAGAGTGCTGGGAGCCGTAGGACATTTCCCCACCTAATATTTCTAGGATTGCACCCTTTGAAAGTTGCCCTTGGCTCACTTAACATGCAGTCCTTTGCATGTTTAGGAGGAAACAAGGCCTACACCTCCCATTCAGGATGGGATATGGAATCCCTGGCTTGGGAGTGAGTTAATTCTCCGTGTGGCCTGTCTCACACAGGTGCGGGGCTGCGGCACCCATGGAATTCTCTCAGGTGCGCTTGCCCCGCAGGGCTGTCATGAGGCGAGAACTTGGGAAGCCCTGCCCGGGAGGCTGGATTCCTCAGTGGAAGATCAGTGTAAAAATACAGGACATGAATTGAACCCTGGGCAAGCGCAGAGGGTTGGGTGGGTCGGTTCGTTTGGCCGGAGGGCAGAAATGAAGCCGTCCTGGGCTCCCCGTTTGGTCCCCCAGCTCCCCGCTCTTCTTTCTTGGTTCCTGGTGGGGTGGCCTGTCGCCCTTACCTGCTCCACTGCCCCAGCGTCTCCCTCCCTCAGCCCCACGTGGGGTTTCACAATCTAGGCGCTTATGACAACAGTCTCATTTCCTTCTCCATCCAACCCCAAAAAAGGAAGTGGGAGACTCAGTCCAGAAAAGGGCACTCACACAAAAAGCAAGAAGGCCTCTGTCTTTTCTCCCCTCAGATCAAAGGCGAGGGGAGGCTCTGGAGAGAGAACAGAGGCCGCTGGGCCGAAGTCAAGGAAATAAAAATTGGTGATGGGGGAGAAGGTTTGGGGTCTCCCTGAGGCAACGGGCGAGCAGAGCAGGCTGTCTTCTCTTCTGGGTTGCCTCTCCATTCCTGGATCCCGGTATTATTCTGGGGGGGCGGGGGCGAAGATGGTGGCAAAGACTGCCAACAGACCTCCTTTTGTCTCTGCCAGCTGCAAACTCCAGAGGTGGCCCTGGTGTCACTGTAATCTGTGTGTAAACACATTCTGCGTTCTGGAGCAGATCCACTTCTCCAGGCCGTTCCCCATCACATCCCTGCTCAGCTACCTCTTGTAAAAGTTTGGTCCGTCTGTCTGGTCCGTGGCCTCCTGCCGTGGGAACACCAGCTTGTTTCGGAGGCAGGGTGGATGCCTTGGGGACACCTAGAAAGCCGTGGAAGTGGGCTAAGGATGTGAAATCGAACGGCTATTTGCACAGCCCGGGGAAAATATGTTCCCGGGGTGTCTGCCAACTGGCCCTCTTTCCTCTCTTTGCCTCAGAAATGCTTCTCAAACAGCTGTGAGGGGAAAAAAATGCCTCCAAGATATCTCCCGGGGAATCCTGTTTCTGGCCTGAGCCAGTTCAGGGTAGAGCTGATCCGTGGGGCCAGTATCCGTGGGAAGCAGGAATGGCTGTGGCCTTCCCCAGCATCCACCACATCTCAATCCTGCTTTCTCCCACTCCTTTCCTTTCTGTAGGGTCTTAAGAGCTTCCCAGATGAACTGGTTTGCTCTGCTTAACAGTAGTAGCAATCCCCCATCTCTCTCTTCCCCTTCTTTTCTCTGTGAAGTTCACTTCATAGGATTATTTTGAATTTTAAGTTGGAAGGGGGGAGTCCTTATAGGTCTCCCCAAGTTTTTTCCAGAGAGAGCATGGTAAAAATTTAATATTTGTAACCACAGAGAAGCCTGGGATTCCAGTGGAGTGTTTCCAGTGGGGTCTTTCCGATGCAACCAGGGTAACCAGAATAGGATCTAGTGTGTCGAGCCCCTTTTAGTTCTTTTCAGCTGGTGGGGTACCCCTTGTTTCTTCCAAATGTGGTGAGTCAAATGTTTGGGGAGTGTTTCATTGATTTGATTTGATTGCATTTTTGCCAAGCTTTCCACATCTCTTTATTTTTTTCGGGGGTGTCCTGTGTTTTGTCTCCACTCCCCTTCCCCTGCCTGGGAGAAATATCCATGTGTGAAGATCAGATATTCCCCTGACTTGGGCCTCCACCCTGCTTTTAACAGCCGTTTCCTTATCGCAAGTGGGAGAACCGGGAACAATAATTATTCTGGTCCAATGTTCCCACGGAGATAACTGTTCAGAGGGCAGAAGATGAGGGAAGGGCCATGCCTTGGGGGGGTTATGTAAGATGGGGGGCACGAGGGTCAAAATCTTCTTGGAAGCAGTCATTTGTTTCCTCCGGATCCAGCACCCCTCCCCTGTCCAGCCACTTTCCTTTTCATCTCCAGTCCAAGAGGCTATTATCCAGGATGTCAGAGATATTTAGTGCCTTGACCAAGGGGGGTGCATATGGTCTCCATTAAAATTCTTCAGAAGTGCCCCCCACCCCCTACTCTCACAACTTGCACATGGAGCCTGAGGGGAACTCTCACAGTCCTGCAATGCCAGGGAGAAACGGGTTTAAGAGGCTGTGCTGGGAACTGCCACCCTTCCAGAGACGATAAAAGCATATTATTTCTGTGCGTGTTTTGGGGGTGGAGGTGGTGTTCCATAGTGACTTCTGTGTAATTGGATACAGACCGAGGAAAGAATATCTCTGTCTGTACAGGTAGAACTTTGTGCTCTGGTAATTAGTTCATTGCCGTTTTAGTTAAGTGTTTGCAAGGCTGCAGAATTTAAAAGACACAATGTCCGTAACCTTGTTGGAATTAGATATTCTTAGAAATGCTATGCAGGGTTCGTCGTATCATGGGGTGTTGGGACCTAGATGAGTGCTCTTGTTTTTTAAAATCGTTTTAGCATACAATGCTTTGCATGTTTAGAGAAAAGATCTAGAATTTCCCGCATTGGGATTGCAAGAGCTCCTTTCCATCTAAACCCGGTTAGGATCAGGCCCTTAGGATCCCAGCCTCCCAGCAGTGAATAGGGGTGGCAGGGGGGCAGATGAAGCATTTTATAACTGTGAGGACCCTTCAAGGCGAGGCAAGCTAAGAGAGAGGACAAAACTGGAGATTTTGTCTGAGAATTTCTGAAGTACTCAAACCTGAAACCGCTGATCTAACCAAAAGCTGTGAGTTGTAACTCAACTCGCATGCCTTGGAAAGTAGTGGAACATAAAGCTATTTTTTTACGGAATTCAGAAATGATCCAGGAAATGGAAGCTTAATATCTGTCCCAGGTGAATTGATAAGAAGTATTATTAAAGCCAGAATTCTGAAGAACAAGCCTTGCTGAGAAAGAATTGACATGGTTTCCACAAAGAGAGGCCCGCCCTTGCCAGCCTCTTAAGCGTTTTGGTACAAGCAAGCTTTGAAATGAAAATTATAAACTTGTACTTCTGACAAGTTCTGAAAAGCTGACTCTTGGCAAAGTATGCTAAATAAACCTAAATGCATTCTGCTACTAATCCTTAATTGCTTAAAGAGCAGGAAGGAGAAAGGGTAAGAACAAACTGTTAGTGTTCATAAATGATTTTGTGCTGTGGGTGACAAGAATGTACTCAGGATGATGGGAATTCAGGAAGACTGCATGGATTTCTCTGGTGGGTGAACAGCCAACAAATTTGTATGGTAGTTAAATATAAGGCAGCTTCAAGGTGTAGTGGTTAAGAGCATGGGACTGGGACTCAGAGGATCTGGGTTCTAGTCCCCGCTCAGCCATGGAGCCAACTGGGTGACTTTGGGCCAGTCACAGACTCTCAGCCCAACCTACCTCACAGGGTTGTTGTTGTGGGGATAAGATGGAGGAGGAGAGATGATGTAAGCTGCCTTGAGTCCTTTGTAGGAAAAAGGCAGGATATAAATTGCAATATATAAATAAGGTTTGGTGGGGTGGGTAAAGGCAAATGGCGACATTCTCATAAACTGGTAGTCTCTAAAGGGGGAGCAATTTACTAGCAAATTTATTAGCAATTTACTAGCAAATGGTATCCTGGGTCAAGTAAGAATATCCACTTGTTATGCAAGTTCAGTAATGATGGGAAATTCCTAGCTAGGTTTTCTTTGGTAAACAACCGAAAATAAATATGCCAGTATCCGTAATATTTCTTGCTAAGTCTGTGGTACAGCCACATTTGGAATGCTGTGTACGGGTCCAGTTGCCCTTCCCAAAAAGGGATCTTGAACAGCTGGCAAAGGTGGCCAGAAGGGGGCCTGAAAGGCCCAGGGGGCCACAGCAACATCCCCAAGAAGAGTGGGAACAAGCTTTGGGGTCTGATTAGTTTGGGTTGGGGGAACGCATGGAGGTACATGATTACATTTTATACATCTGTCATATATTAATGCTGAATTGTAAGCTATTCAGGAAGGACAAGAAGCGGTGCCTGTGTTCAAAGCAGAGGTGTTGCCAAGGAAAATTCCCCTCTTCAGGACTTGCCCCGCAGGAAGGCATTGCTGGGGTGGGGGAGGGTTAATGCCCTCCCCATCCTTCCTTTGTTTGGAGATTCAGTTTAGGTGGGGAAAAGTATCTTTGCTTGGTTTGGAATGACCTCAGGCAAGGTGCAAATGAACTGAAGGATTTAATTGTGTTTGTGTGGATTTGGATGACAACCTGTGGAGTTCACACAGGTCCCTGTGAAATGTTAAGTCAGTCCATCTGCAGATGTGTTTCCTATGGACCTGGAACCTTTAAGCTACTAGCAGCATCCCCCGGGGCATAGTAAAACTCTGGAATTCCAAGGCATACTAGCCATGATAATTGAATTGGGCTACCAAGTTCAGGGGCAGGCGCCCAGAAGGACTATATGCCCACATTTCTTTCCCTCAGGCTTTTGGGAGTCTCAGCTTCAGGTTTTGGGAATCTCAGCTTCGTCACCCTGGGCAATAGACCTTCAATCTGATCCCGCAAGATCCTTGCATTCTCAGAACCCCTCCAGAGAAGTTTGGGTGGGGGAAAGCATTCCCCTAATTCTTTCTGCCGTTCCACCATCATCGTGGCTTTTCAGTGCTGAAATCTGGGCCTCTCCTTTAAGCAATATTGCTTTTCCACCATTTTCTCTGGGTGTGTGTTTTTCCCTTCTGCATTAGTCACTGTGGCAATACAGTGATCCGCGGACTCTGGCTTCTTCCTTTCTACCTTTGTCACAAATATGCGCGCCTCCTGCTTTCAGTGTTAATTTCAGGTGTTTGCTGATGGAAGTCGAGTGTAGCTAAAAGTGAATTAAAAGCATGGATGGAGTTGAGAATTGCAGCCCCTTTAGAGCTTAGAGGGTAATAGGATAGCTTGCTTTTCCCAACCAGTGTAGCTAAACTGAAAACAGATTTAACTGACATTTCAGCTCCTCCAGCAAATTTAGGGATAAGAGTTTGGGGATCTCTAATGAAGAAACCCTAAAATGCATCATTGGGTGATATTTTTATTAGTCACCACCGAGTAGGTAAGCTTTGGTTAGGCAGAAATGGGGCAGGCGTCTGTTGGGTGGGGGTTGGAGCACTGGATTCAGGGAAAATCCTGGCTCTAGTCCCCAGTTGGCCATGGAGCTTACAGGCTGCCTTTTGGATAAGCACTGACTCTCAGCCGAAACTTGCTCCGTTTTGTTGTGATGATAAAACGGAGAGAAGGAAGATCCAGTACACTATGCTGGGGCTCCCTGAAGAAACAAGAGAAAGCAAATACATCTTGGAAAATATATCAGCACTCAGGATGCATTGGGGGAGGCACTTGGTGGTGGTGGTGGTTGTTGTTGTTAGTTGCAAAGTTGTGTCCGACCCATCGCGACCCCACGGACAACACTCCTCCAGGCCTTCCTGTCCTCCACCATCCCAGGAGTCCACTCAAGCTCACACCAACGGCTTCAGTGACCCCATCCAGCCACCTCATCCTCTGCCGCCTCCTTCTTCTTTTCCCGTCAGTTGTTCCCAGCATTAAGCTTTTCTCCAGTGAGTCCTTCTTTCTCAGGTGGCCACAGTATTTGAGTTTCATCTTCAGCATCTGGCCTTCTAAAGAGCAGTCCGGGTTGATCTCCTCTAGGACTGCCCGGTTTGATCGCCTAGCCAAGGGCAAAATCCAATGCATGTCAAGGCAAGAAAAAGACCCACGACTTCTGGCACTCCTCAGCCAGCCACAGTGTATAAAGCCCTTGAAATTGTAGGATGCTATTCTGTTTTAAGCGTACATAGCCTTGCATCTTCAAACAGGTACACAAGTCTGTACTATAGACTCTTCTGGGCACTGCAGTTTAAGAAGGGTATTAACAAACTGTCTGGAGATGGGTGGCGGAGCTGAGGTTCACAACCCCTGGGGAGAAGCTTATGTGGGTGAATTTCTTAGAATGGCGGAGCTGGGTAGCCATCTGCAAATATGTGAAGGATAGGAAAATAAAGGCTGGATAAAAGTCGCCCCAGGAGGCAGGACACGAATCCGTGGGTTCAAACATCAAGAAAAAGTATTTCAGCTAAATTTTAGGAACAATGTCTGGGTGGAACACACTGATCCATGGTAGCTTGGAAGGTTTGGTGAGGGGCAGTTAGGAGAGTAGATGGCTGGGAACCTCCAGGAGTGCAGAGACCGGACTAGAGGAACCATGAGGTCCTTTCCAACTCCAAACCCTTGGAGCGCTCCGATTCCAACGGAAATTGTGTCGGGTTGCTGTTCTCCCATCTCTGTGAGTGGAGGCTTGAGTTGGAGCTATCATGTTACATGATTTGCCTCTTTTGTGGAAAAGTTATTACGCCTAAAATACTTACAACACCATCTGTACCCTCATTCCCGTGTCGTATTCATAGTGAGAACCCTTAGCTATTTTGAAGATTTAATGTGTTGAGTTCCAGTTTAGTTCCCCATGTTGCTACATAGCCTCAAGCCAGTTGCTCTTCTGTCTGCCTCAGTGCTGAATCTGTGAAATCTGTAAAATGGGTACAGTGGTGGCCGACTTTATTTGATTTTTAAATATTCCATAAAAATCACAGTGCCTTTTTGTGCATGTAACAAGCAACTGATGCATTGCAATAACAACTCACAGCTGATTCTAGAAAATGTATGTGAGTAATTCATTCCTTACTGAACAAACAGCATTGAGAATTATTTTTAAAAATCAAAATAGGGGGCTGGACTTTTAGTTTAGCAATGTAAACATGGTCTTGCTAGACCAGACCAAAACTCATTCGGGGCAGTATCCTGCTTCTAACAGTGCGCAGTTAGATTCCTCTTGGAGGTTTCCTTACATGGAGGTTCCATTTGGTACTATGGACTTGTAACTATTAATTTGTCAAATCCTTTTAAAAAACCTCATGCACGCATCCAAACCTAATGGCTGTTGCAAACCGCTTGGAACAGATTGCATTGCTTTTGACCATGGAGTTGAAACTGACATTTACTGCCGCAGAAGGGAGTGATGCTGCCTAACCCGCATGGCTTTAAAAGGGAGCTAGGAATCCCTGGCTATTAGCTATGACTGTGGATGGCCTCCAGGATCAGAAAGAGGCAGGAGGCTTTGGTATCCCAGCTGCTGGGAGCAGGAATTTGAAGATGCTCTTGGGCGCATCTCCTGCTGGGGGTTAGCCAGCATGGGAGCAGAATGGTGAGGGCCGATCCTGCCGTGTTTTCGTATTAATCTGCTCACATGTGGCATGCATGTTTGAAAACACTCTAGAAATAAAACCAATTTTACTATTAACTTTTCTGATGGGGCCTAGCAAGCCACCCGCAGTCATCCAGAACGTAGCAGGTCTGTAGGTCTGATCTACGCCTTCAAGAAGAGGTCATGTGTTGGGTGGTGGAAAGTCATAACCTCTAATTTGGCAGAAGAGCGCTGACTTGTTCTGTTTTTCTTTTCTTTTGTAGGAACCAACCAGCCGGATTCTGGTGACCCTACGGGTTGACCCACAGGGCTTTTTCCTCTACTGGACTGGTCCAAATAACGTATGGATATCCTGTCTTAAACATGCTTTTTCTAAGCCTCTTCCCCTCGCTTTCAAACTGTGGTTTTTTAAAACGCATTTTAAAAATAAGTCATGCTTCTTATCAGTGGTAACGGATGACCAAGCCCGGAAGCGCTGGGGTACTTTTGAGCATTGGGGGCAATGTCAGGGAAGGGAGGGTGTGAACCCCGTGTTGGGAGACAATGGACAGGCCTTCCACTCTGCCCAGTTTGAGCTGCCTCTGAAGTTGAATGCTCCACCCCCCCCCACACCCCACTTCCCACCTCCACCCCAGGGGAGGGAGTGATATTCAGCAGGCCTGGATTCTTAATTCCTCTCTCTTGTCAATGCCTTGAGTAGTTGAGCTGGTTTGACTAGAATTCTGGGGTGAGGGCCAAAGGGAGAGACAGAAGGGAGGGAGCGGAGAGAGGCTAGCCTGGCCGTGGCTTAAAAAAAAATCAAAATAAAAAGCTGATATAAACAGCCGCATTTCCCTCTTTCTCCCTGGGCAACTCACTTCCTTTGCTCCCCTCTAATGAGCTACCCCAAACTTGACCCACTTCAGCGGGTCGGCTGTGCGGAAGTCCTCTTGATGTCTTTGGAAATCCTGAAAAATCTTGAAAGCAGGCTAGTCAAGACTGTAGCAGAGCTGCTTTGCTCTGGATTTTGCCTCCTTTGCTCCTTTTTATCCCACCCTCCTTCCAAAGGGATTAAGGTAAAGTGCCGTGATTCTCTCCCTTTTGACTTCTGCAACATCCCTGCAAGGTAGCCTAGCCTGGGAGGTGTGGTGACCCGATCAAGGTCACCCATGATGGCTTCAGGGCTGAGTTGCTACCCCAGCTATCTGACCAGGGGGGTAAACATGGGCGAGCAAGAGCTGAGGAAGATGGGATAGGATGATATAAACTGGGCAAGCGGCAGGGAGACTAGGTGGCACCACAGAGATGGGAATTCGGCTGAGGAGGAAGTTCTCGGGGGGCACATTCCACTAGGGGTGAGACTGAAGGCAAAAGGGACCGAGGCTGAAAATAATGTGGCCCTATTTCATGGCAAAGTTCTGCCGACAGCGGAGCCATGGGACAGGTGTTCCAGCCTTTTAAAATCGGGAAATGGGGGCAGATATGTGGAAAAGCTGCAGAATGATTCAGTGATTCAGGTGGGGTGGCTTTTTTAAGCCTGGCTTTCCACCCTACCCTACCCGTTCTAGAATTTGCTGTCACTTATTATCCCGCTGCCCAGATCGCTGCTGGGGCGATCCTCCGTCACCCACCTCGGATCCTTTTCCTGCAGCACCCTAAATGTGCCTGGGAACCCCTTTGCTTTGCTCTTGCGGAACTCCTGCCTCCGAAGGGAGTGTGCGAAGGGGCCGGGTGGAGGCGAGGTCCCATAGCAGGATTAGGGGATTCATATAAACCCCTCAGCACCCATTCAGTCATGCCGCTTCTGCAGTTTCGACTTGTGGACAACGCCAGGTGGGTGACTAAGGAACAGCAGCCCTCAGCAGGGGGTCCGGAGCGTATTTACTTACTTATTTTTGCCATTCCTTTTGAGGCTTTGTGGAAAGAGACCCCTGTATTTTCCTGGCGTGGCCTGAAAGCCTGTTTTCTCCTCTGCTCCCCTGCTTTTTTCTCAGGTTTGCCCTCTGTCTGAATCCACTTTCCAGAGCAGCAGTTTGGTTCTTCCCCCAGGCTTCCCCCTTTATTTTATTACTGCATAATTTGCCTGTGGTTAAAAGCTCTTTTGCATTGGAAGAGATCCAGGACAGAACAGTTAGTTTAAGTAGCTGCATATACAGCTGGAACTGCCTGGTCTTCTCCTTCCTTTGAGCAAGTGCTTGAATGGCCAACGAAAGAAAGAGGAGCGGGAGGGAATCTGGTCTGGCAGGGCTGCGGGGAAAGCCAACAGAGTTGGAGAAATCGTCTTGTGGATCTGAAGGTGAGCACTGCCAAACTGGCGGGTCTAGGCCCTGTCCTTGATTCGGACTGCGATATGCATTTGGTCGGTTTAGCATTGAGTGGCCTCAGGGCACAGTCCTCTGCCTGATTACTCAGAAAAAAGTCTCCCAGCATTCCCCACCCATGGACTTAGTAGTTGGGCTTAGACTAAACACGTGCAGGATTGTGGCCCTTCAGTTCAGTTGTGGCTGGGCAAGGTTTTATTTAAAAACAAAGGCATTAAAATACAAGACAGTAGTGGAAATCAGCATGATGAATTTTTATTTCGGAATTAGCTAGTCTGGGTTGTTTGCCATTGTTTAGGTTTACTTACAGTGTGAACCCTTTATTTAGCCAGTGCTTGGTTTGTGTTATCCAGGGAGACAATCAAACAAATGGCTGCTCATTTCTTTCCTTCTCATGTTCTGTCCTTTTACTCTAAATGCCTTTGCGTGATTGTAGAGCAGGCATATAGGAAATTTTTTTGTTTAAATCACTCTTGCCAGCTTCCTCTGTAGCCTGTCAAAACAACCCAGGAACAGCTCATGAGTCTGTTTCACACATAATGGCAGCCCATGGATTAAAGAATTCAGAATTCACAGTGACTTCTTTTTCTGGGGTGTTCATATTTAACAAACCACATTTGTTAGCGTGGTGGCATTCACTCATCAACCCAGTTTGCAATAATGGTGGCACATCATGGGTTAATTAATGGGGCTAATTAGTGGGGACATGTAGCGTGTATGAGCTGTTTCCAAGTAGCAGAGCAATCTGCAGATGCCCTCTTTGTAGGTTGTTAGTGTGATGTCTGAACCCAGATACTTTGGTGTGTGGGTAAAACAACCCAAAGTTAATCTATGATTTGGTCTAATTTGCTCCAGCAGCTATGCCTTACGAGAAACATTTCAACTTTTAGACTGTGCAAGGCCCAGAAAACCACTAAACCAATGTGGTCACAGGAAAGGATCGGGCCATTAGAATAGGGCGTGACCATTTGGGGAACCTCAGTAAGCCACATTGGGATTTCAGATGGGCTGGATTTGACCACCAAGCTTGAGGTCTGACAGCACTGCCCTAGATGTTGGCACTGGCTTGTTTCCACTAACTACAGTTAAGGTTAATAGTCTAGGGTTTAGCTGATAAAACTAAACTGCAGGTAATCTAAAATGAGAAAACACCTTTCTCCTGCACTGATACAGAGGTGGGGACTGCATAAGTCCTGTTCATGAAATACTAAAAACAACAGTGCCTCAACTCATCTAATTCTGATTATTTTTAATGAGAACAAAATAATAAAAATATCCAGACAGGTTGCATCCGTGTCCATGGCTTTGAGCCCAGAAGGTGGGACTAGTTTTCCATGGAGAATTAGCTTTAATCACACTCACACACCTTTTCTCTTATCTCTGTAATGAAAAGGGCCAGAATTTTTTTTCTTGTTTTAAAGAGGACTGAAAATGCATGGAGGAGGACAGAATAGCCCTGGAGATGCCAACCCCTTCCTAAGTTCCAGCACTAAGTGGCAAACATTTCTGCACTTCAATATGAGGAAGGAAATAACGGTTATAATGAAAGGAAATATTGGCTGATAAAATGTAAATGATCGCCTGAGAGGAAATGTAACATTCTGATTAGTATGAAAGGGTAAATTGCATTTAATGGATAGCCTCCAGCATTATCTAATGGATATAGATGTGTGTAGTTGTGCCCACCCCACCCCCCACCCCTAATTATGCCAGTGTATGCTTGTGCAGTTCTTTGAAATATTGCAACTGGCAGAAAAGCTAAAATTAATGCATTCCTTGTTATGGAAAGAGAGACCTCGTTATCTAGACTAATTAACACATTTTGTGGTTCTTGTTAGCAGAAGAGGCTGCTGGAAAAGGTGTCTGCATCTGCTACTAACAAACCTGAAATAAAGGGTTCCTGTTTGTCTCCTTCTGGTTTTTCTCCCCCTCTTCCTTCTAGGATGTGGACCTTCTAGACATCAGCTGTATCCGAGACACTCGGACCGGACGCTACGCCAAGCTCCCCAAGGTAACTGACTGGTGATATTCTGTGTTTCAGCCATTCACTTCTCTCTCTCTCTTCTATTGTTCATAGCTCAGATGTTTTATGACATGTTGCGTGGTGGATAAGCCTTGCCAAAGAGCCGGTGTGGTGCCGTGGTTGGGGCTTGGAGATTTGAGTTTGTGTCCCTATTATTAATCAGGACCTTTGTAGGTAACTTTGGCCCAGTCACTGACTCTCAGCCGAACCTACTCCACAGGGTTGTTGTGAAGTGTAAATAGAAGAAGAGGACCACACAAACCCCCCATAACAGAGCCTTGAAGGAACGAAGTGGGGATATTAATATCATAATATAACTAATTAATTGGAATAAGTGTATGTCACTGCAGTCTAAGCAGACTGTCGGTGAGTCTAGGCCGGTGTTGCCAGCCGCTCTCTTGGCTTCAAGGCCATGAAGGATCTTTTCCACCACCCGCTCATCTTTTTCTTGCTGAGAATAGAACCGTGCCAAGCACATGCTCCGTGGCTAAGCCATGACAGGGGATGCGTCAGTCCTGCATTCAACGCCTTGGTGTCTCCATGGATAGCTGGGAAAGGTCTGTAACCCCAGAACCTCCCCCCAGCTGGTGGGTCCAAGCTTCATACATGGCAGTCTTCTTGACTCTTTGCCCACCTGTGGTCAAACACTTCCTTGCAACCCTAAGGACTAGTCACTTTTGTAATGAATCCCCGAGATTCTTTGGAAGCGGAATCCCCTCCCAAGGAATTCTGTGCAGAAGAGTTACTGCATGCGCACAGACCCTGCTTCTGGGGAGGACCTGTATCCCGTGGCACAGGTGCATTTCAGCAACACTTTCCAGGTGAACCGGGGGCCTGCTCCTGATCTCACCATAGGTGGGGGGCACTGGGACACACCCAAATGGGGTTGGTTCCCATGTGTGGGGACATATAGGAGGCCGTTGTCACAGCGCAAATGATACCTCCCTGCATGGAAACAGCTGAGGCCCTTTTCCTGTGGCTAGAATTGCCTGATACTTTTTTTAAGAAGCAGGCATGCCAAGGCAAGGTGGGAGGAGTTTTGGTGCTGCATTCCAGTGGTGGGTGGGGCCAAAGACGAAAGGGGCGGGGCCCCGAATAGCAGCCTATTGCAGCTGAATACTCTTGCCACTGGAACTAAGTATTGTGAGAGGCTTTTGCTCTTCTTTAATGGGGGTGTGACACAAAAGCTGGGGAACCCCGAAACGATCCAGAGTGATCAGGAAAGTGCGGGGCCAAGCTTTGGCACCACTGTGCTGAGGTGGCTTAACTTGGCGGCAGAGGCCGTGGCAACCCATTTCCCCGCTCTCGTTTCCCTTCGACCTCATGGAGTTCTCTCTCTCGGATCCCCACCAGTCCTGATGCCAGTTTCCATCGGCACAGTTAACGCACCCGCTTTGCAGGGCTCAGAGCAGCATTCACATGGGCAGAGGAAGACTCAAACTCTTCCTCCCTGCCTCAGTCCCAGAAAATTCGCTCCCTGAAGTGGACATTTGAATTTCAAATAGGAAGCATTCCCTTTTGGTGAAAGTCCCCTTCTCCCACTGCCCCAGCTCTTTGCCCTTAGGGCGTTCGAGCAGGTGAGCAAAACAACCACACCACAAGGCGCGCCTGGATTAAGCTTGCCTCTGGTTTGGTCCTCAGGAAAACAGCGGGAGTAAGCACCAGGCTGAGCTGCCTGCACTGGCTCACCTCCTTCGCACCCTTCCTTTTGTAGGACCCCAAGATCAGGGAGATCCTTGGTTTTGGGGGGCCAGAGCAGCGACCCGAGGATAAGCTGCTGACTGTGGTTCATGGCCCTGACCTGGTCAATGTGAGTTTCCTCAACTTCATGACGGTGGTCCAGGACGACACGGCAAAGGTAGGGCGAGGGAAGGTTGCTGGACTGTTTTGGGGGGCAGTTGGACAGGTGAGGGTGTTTTCAGCATGGGTGTTGGACACAGAGTGGAAGGGGCCATTGGGGTTGTTAGGAAGTGGCGGGTGTAGAGAGGTGGTGACAGGAATCCGGTGCCATCTTTGTACATAAGTCTGAACCGGCAGGTCTCTGCCTGCAAGGAGCTGCAGCCAAAGGCCAGCATAGGCCTGTCATTAGATGAGTCTTTGCACTTAAAATGCAGGATCGCTGTGTGTCTTTGAATAAATAGCAAAACGCTTCCATGGTTTGTATGGGGGGCAGGGGCTGCTTCATGGAAGCGGAGCAGGCGCGGAGGGGAGAATTTTAAGCAAAGTTCCTCGTGGTTTGAATAATTGCTTTAGAAGAGGGATTTTTTCTCCTGACTGTGGCAGGTACAGAAAGGGTTACTAATTCTCTGCCTGTGCCTGCTACATACACACCCAGCTGCAATTTGCATTTTTAAAAGCCTGCAACTTAAGATGCAAAAATGCATTTATTGTCTGGTGCTGCTCAAGGGAAAGATGCCAAGGGATAATTGACTTTGGTCCAGAGATAACTAGAACCTACCAGTGCAGGCTGTTATTGTGTGTTGTGGAGGAGGCCAAATGTGGACCTGTGCCTTGACATGCTGGCTTTCTACACACGGGGAGTTTATTTCCCAGAAGAGTGGTTGAGCCACTCCACTCCCTGCCTGGCCTGCTGTGCAGCAGGAAAGCTACAGCTTTATAAACTTATAAACTGACCCCAGAAATGACTGCATCGTTTCCCCACCCCCAACTCATGCCTGCTTTGAAGTGGGGCTGGGAAGATGCAGAAGCCCCTCCAGGATTCCTGGTTACAAGCAAAGGGATGTCCTTTGATCTGCTGGATTATTCATTACACTGGGTTTCTTCGAGAACACAGGCAGGCCTGCTTCAGGCTTGGGGTCAAAGGTGCTTTTTAATGGGACCCAGAGTGGGACCAACAGGTACCAGCTACTGGCTCAGATCGGCAGACATACGCTAAGAATTAAGGACCAAGATTTCTCTCTTTGCAGGCTCAACCCAGGAATTCACAGCCAAAACTGAATTCACTCCTGGATTTCCTCCACATATTTTCTGCAGCCTGATTTAAGGGGGTGGGAACACTTCTTAGTTAACACTATTAATAGTCAATGGAGAGAGAGGAATCTTTGCCAGGGAGAAATCTTTAAATCACCCAGCAATGTACTGGTGAGTTAGTTCTGGCTTTACAAATATCTGGACTGTTAGAACCCCCTGCAAACTTAGCCCATAATACATTAATCTGGGAGAACAGTACCAAGATTATTTTATCAGGTATGTGAAGCAGGGGGCATTGCTCAATGAAGAGCACTTGCAGAAAGCGCTGTAGTCAGTCTGCAGCATTTCCTGGCAGGGCTGAAAAGCTCATGTCTGAAGTCCTGGATTGCTGCTACTGCCAGTCCGTGTTGGTAATACTGGGCTTACAAGGTCCCTTGGGTCTGAGTTTGGGATAAGACGTTTCCAAAGTTGCTAACTATGTGGCTCTTCCTTTTGGTGATCTCCTGAAGATTCCCCCCAAATCTTGTCCTCTTGATTTACCTTCTCCTACTTGAGGTCTGAGTCTTGGAGCAGATCCTGGTGGATTATGTCTGCCAGCACCCTGGGAAATGCGGCGCAGGCCAATTTCGTTGCTGCCCTTCACCAAGTTTAAAAGCTGGCCTTTATTTCCCTGGTGTCTTTGCAGTGCTGTAACTTAATCACTCTGAGACTATAATTGGCTTTAATTTACAGGTTTGTCATTGGCATGGGATGACTGCTTTTGATTCACTTTGGGGCTGCTATTCTTGCTAGTTTGCCAATGCTCGTATTTATTTATTTATTAAGTTGTCCTGGTTTTATGTCCTCAGCAAAAAATTAGAAAGATTCTACAACGCGGAGAATAAAGATGAACCTCCCAGGGTGCTTCATCATTTTAGCATGAAATTCCAAAAATTTCACATGAAATTCATAATCATAACTTTTATTATTAATCAGGAGAGGTCTTTCGGGGGGGGGGAAAGAGAGAGAGAGAGAGAGAGAGAGGGGGGGAGGGAGGGAGGGAGGGAGGGAGGGAGAGACCGACCGAGACCTGCTCACATCCTCAGTGCTGTGTGGTCTTTCCTATCCCCTTTTCCTGTGTTGTATTTTTGTTGGTAAATCTTCCTAAATGAAAACGCCACCAACTTTTTGGCTTTCCTTGATTTGCAGTGGGGTGACTGGTGTTGTTTGATTGCGGTGTTGAAAGAGCATGCTGTTAAGGAGATCGTGCGTTGTGCCCCAGGCGTAAGCAGAACGAAGCCTGGTAGCGTTGTGTCTAAAGTCACCCTATTCTTTCTTTGGCTCCTCTTCCTTCCAGTTGTGGACTGAAGAACTGTTCAAGCTCTCCACAAACATTCTGGCTCAGAATGCCTCTCGGAACACCTTTCTCCAAAAAGCGTGAGTGACTTGGCCGTCCTAAATAGGTGCAGGCTCGCTTCGGATCCTTGCAAACGGTTGGTCTGTGGGGTTTGTTCAGCCAGGTTCCTTTCAGGGCTCTGACCAACCCGCTTAGCAGAGAAGTACCATTTTATCAAGCGACGCGATTAAGTTCTGTTTCTGATGCCAGTAAACCAGCCGGACACTCCGGAAATGATCCATCCGCAAACAGCCCTGCTTCTTTCTGAGCATACACATCAAGAGCCGCCCCCTTCCACCTGGCTGCGGCATTTTGAAAAAGAGATTTAGCTCTGCGTGTTTTGTTCAGAGAACCCTTAAGGAGAATACTAAGGGGTATAAATTCCCAGGCGCTCCCGGGGTCCTGTTCATCTACATCGGAATTACAGATTGTTCCAGAGGTTTCTGTGCCAGAAAGGAACCTTGTCTTGCATCCAAGGAGGGCTGGAGCACCGGATGCTTCCAGGAAGCCCAAATCTGTTCCCAGTTAGAGAGGTCATTTAAGAAGGCGGTGCCGCTTGGCCCTGTCTTCACAACCCAGCTAAGCCGCTTTGCTTATTCTCCCCTAATATTGGACAGGAAAGGAGAAGGCCAAACTTCGTCCTTCTAATAACAAGCTCTCCATGTTGCCCCTGCAGCTACACCCGGCTCAAGATCCAGGTGAATCAGGAGGGGAGGATACCTGTGAAAAAGTAAGGCGCTCCAGTTGCCCCCATGCTGGTGTGGGTCCCGCTTGTGGTAGCGCTCTTCCAGTTTAATATCCGCTCCTCGGGCTCTCGCGCTTCAGGACGGCTTTGCTTCTGGGAGCTGTTCCCACGGGTGCTTGGTGGATGTTGCAGGGGAACTGTCCTTTCTGTCTGCTGTGGGATGGTTAGAAGGAGCGAGCTGGCAATGTGTGTTTGCGCGCGGCCTCTGTGTGTGTGAGGCGCGTGCCTTGAGGAACTCTGCCCAGGCGGCCTGAAGCAGCTACTTAGCAGGGCGACTGGCTGGCAGTCCCTTCTGCTTGACAGAGCAGGTGGGGCGCTTGCTTGTGCGCAACAGCCGGACTCGCGCTTCGCTCGTGCTGCTTGCAACAGCTCAGCCTCAGCAGCTTCAGTGCGAGGAGGAGCAGGAGGGGTTGTTTTCTGCTGCAGGGAGAATCACAGGATGGGAGGGGATGCCAGAGGCCTTCCAGTCCAGCCCCGTTTATGCACAAACCTGCAGCATTCCGGACAGGTGGCTGCCCAGCTCCTGTTTAAGACCAGACCCCCCCCCCCCCCCCCCGGCTCACTGCTCAGCTGTTTTTGCCCCTGCAAAATTCTGTCTCTGTTTAGCTGCTGCCTCGCAGTTTCCAAAACTCCACAAGGCCGTGGGAACAGCCCTGAAAGTTCACCTCGTCCTCTGGGGCAGTTGGTTGGACCTGGGAGCAGCCAACCAACATTCTCCACAGTGCAGGGCTTTACAAACCGATGTCCCCAAGCTGCCACCCTACAGAAGCGTTGGACTGCAATCCCATCTTCCTGCCTGAGAATGATGGGTGTCGCGGTCCAGTCCTGCTGGAAGGCCCTGGCTTGGGAGAGGCTGAGCTGTGCTTTTGATGAACCCTACCTGCTTGACCGAGAGATTCCCATTTCTCTCACCCCGCAGTATCCTCAAAATGTTCTCAGCTGACAAAAAGCGGGTGGAGACAGCCCTGGAGTCCTGCGGCCTGAATTTCAACAGGGTACGTTCTCCATCCTGAGAGCCCATTCTCTTCTCCATGCTTCCTTCTGCCAGCTCTCCTTCTCCATCCTGCCTTCCTCATCGTCGTCTTTTGGAGGCCAGCTGGACTTCTGCCTGCCCCCCTGCCCCAGGCGAGCTCAGTTTAGCACTAGAGTCTGGATAAGGCCTAGCTTACACGTGAGCCACTCAAATCTCTGAGACGGGGGATCATGCTCTGCCCCTTCAGCCTGTAGATGGGAGACTCGCAGGTTGGAATGCTTCCTCACATTAAAAAAAAAAAAAGCTTCCCCCTGCAAGTAGAAACCTAGCAGAGCAAGGCTGGGGAGATCCTTTTCTTTTAACCCAAAGGGAACGTCCTCCTCCTCTTTCTTCTGCCACTGCCGCCTTCAACATGGCTGCCTCCGGGACTCACAGTCCGCTCAAAGATCTCTTATTTACTGCACTCATAGTCCCAGGGCTGAGTACTGTTCCACTTGCACCCAAGTTTTGGCCTCCTCGTTCCGTCAGGCCTGCAGGAGAAAGTACCCGCCTTGCTCGGGGAGCATCCCTCACCGCATTCTACAGATTAGGGAGCGGAGGGGGCAGAAGATCCGAGGCGTTTCAGCACCGACTTAGCTGCTTCCAGAGGAATCAGCATCAAGCAGTAATTCTTTGCTTGCTCTCTGCATTTCCATCCCATTTTTCCTACTGACTTTCAGCCTCTCCTGCACTGGGCCCAAGCACCATGCCATCATCCTGTTCTGCCCCCCCCATCCAGTTTAGTCAGGGATTGGCTCAAAGGCACCCAGGAGCCCACAGGACGTAGTGGGGACTTGAACCTGAAGCTGCTGCCTCTGGAATAAAGGATGCCAGAAGAATGTGGTTTGACTCTGTAAGCTGCCCAGAGAGCCATTGTGGCTAATGGGCGATACAGATAATAAATAAATCACAGGCGGAATGCAGTAGTACCTCCACAGCCAAATTCTCTTTCTCGATACGGCTGCAGGCATTGGGATGCCGCCCTGTAGGAGCCAAGTCCAAGATGGGCTGAAAACCTGTTATTTTGCACCTTGAATTTCTTCGCTTCTCACACCCCCCATTAAACGGACGCACCTTGCTCAGCGCATTTTGTCTAGTATTAATCTGTTCGCTTGATTTCCTTCCCACCAGAGTGAGTCGATCAAACGCGACGAATTCACCCTGGAGATCTTCGAGCGGTTCCTAAACAAGCTGTGCCTTCGCCCAGACATTGACAAAATCTTGCTGGAGATGTGAGTAAAGAGAGTGCGGAGCGGACGGTGGGCCTGGAAATGCAGGATAATTGGCAGCACAGTTGGAAGTGAAACACCAGATGCCATTTCTCCTGTGAGAGTTGATTGTGGAGGAGTGCGGTATATTTTGGGATTTCCTCTGTTTAACAACAGATTATATCAATGCTCACACAAACAATGATGGAAAAACCAGCATAATCCCTTATTAAACAAGTTTGCACCCTGCATAATTCCAAAATCCACACTGAAGGTGATAGATTTGCTTGGTCCGGCCAAATGGGCGAGCTTTTGAGGTCCACAGAATTCTTTGTTGGGTAAGATGTGGGGAGTTGAGGGTCTGATGGTCGGAGTCATGGGAAGAAATGAAGGAAGAGGCACATGTTTAACTGGATTGGCCCAGGGGTGTGGCATTTGAGGTCTGTAGGCTGATCTGGCCTCCAGGACCCCCGGAGGGCCATGCCCCCTCCCTCTGTTCCTGCTCCATGCCTGTTTAATTTCAGCAACACATTTTAAAATTGATTGGCACCCTTCCACAGAGGGGCTGAGCTTCATTCCAGCCAGCCAGGTTGCCATGTGAAATGGCCGAGAATATCAGTCCCTGCGTCGCAAGGCAGCATTTAATTCCTCCGCTTCTCTCACGCGTCTGGCCCAGGCCTAATAGCTCCTCCTCCCTTGTCTCCCTCTGGCGAAAACAGCGGCGCCAAAGGGAAGCCTTACCTCAGTTTGGACCAGCTGATGGAGTTCATCAACCAGAAGCAGCGGGACCCCCGTCTCAACGAGATCCTCTATCCGCCCCTGACCCGAGCCCAGGTGCGCCAGCTGATCGACAAATACGAGCCCAACCAGCAGTTCCAGCAGCGGGGTGAGCGCCTGGGTGGGGGTGGGTGCCCCGGCTGGTGCGTCGGGCCCCCGCTCCTCTGACTCCCCGGACCTGCCCTTCTTTTCTCTCCGTTCAGACCAGATGTCGATGGAGGGCTTCGGGCGCTACTTGGGGGGAGAAGAGAACACCATCGTGCCCCCCGAAAAGCTGGACCTCAGTGACGACATGACACAGCCGCTCAGCAGCTACTTCATCAACTCCTCACATAATACCTACCTCACAGGTACCACGCTGTCTCTGGTGGCATTCAGAAAAGGGAATTGCTAGGTCCTGGGCGGCGGGGAGGTAGTTTGGGGCAAGCTGGACCTGGGAGCGATCCAGCAGGGCTCTCCTTACTTTCTTAAACGTACTGCCCTTCCCAAACTCACATTTCTTTCTCCCTTCCAGGTCCTTGAGACCAACTCTCCTTTTACCAAGCACCTAATACTTGTGTGTGTGTGTGTGTGCGTGTGTGTGTGTCTCTCTCTTTCCCATCCTCCCCACCAGCTGGACAGCTGACAGGCAATTCCTCCGTGGAGATGTACCGCCAGGTGCTGCTCAGCGGCTGCCGCTGTATCGAGCTTGATTGCTGGAAGGGGCGCCCCCAGGACGAGGAGCCCTTCATCACGCACGGGTTCACAATGACAACGGAGATCCCCTTCAAGGTACTTGAGGGCTGCTCCCCCTTATGCTCGCCCGCCCCTGCCGTCAGGGACGCCTGCGGTGGGTGGAAGCATTCAGGAGATGGGACCCATGGCTGCACAGGTGCGTGAATTTCCGTTTTTCACAGCACATCAAAAAAGATCAGAGGTAGCCGAAGAGTATTCTCGGTTTATGCATCCCGCCTCGTCCAGTTTTTGGGCGGCTGCTGAGGGGGCCTCTCAAGGACCCCCCTCCCTGGGTGGCTGAGGAATCGCCTCAGGCCTAAAACCATGAGAATATTCTGCCATGCTCGGCTCCCCAACCTTTTTGGACCGTGGGCCCACCTGGGAATTTGAGGAATGGCGTCAGGCACCTCACAAAACACCGAATCTGTAGGTTTTCTGTTTTGGCGTCTACCTGCAGATCGAGGCTTTGGCATCAGCATCCCCAGATCTTAAGCTATAATTTACTCTGCAAGAAAATTGGGTCCCTCTCGGTCGGCCACCACAGCATCACTGCCATAAGCAATTGCCTAATTTGGCTAGTTGCTGGTGAAGTAATTTGACTAATGCTTTTTTTCAAGGGTATGTTTCAGGCTTGTCCAGACTGCATCTTTTGTGGGGGGAAGTTTATGACACAGATCAGTCCTGTCCTGGGAAAATTCTTTTAATATTCCCTGATGCCTGCACTTTTTAAAATAGTTTCCTGCTTCGTGTCAATTCACCAATGGCTCGGCACACACAAATTTCTCTATCCCATTTTACAGCTAAGCTTATGTGTAATTGCTAGAAAGTTGTATGTGTTTCGTACAAATCCATATGAGGTTATTCAGGAACTGGGAAAAAGGAAGAAGATAATTTGGGGGATGAAATAATTTTTGGGAATACAATATATTGGAGGTCTTTGTGGTAGTGTTCACTGATTGTTTAATGAGTTCTTTCTTGAATTGCCTAGGAACGGCCCTTCCTTTTTTTAAAGGCTTCTTTGGGGCTGACAGAGCCCACCTCCTTACATCCCATGATTAATATTAACTATTACTTCATTCCTCTAGCACCCCATAGCTGAAGCTTTCTGGCAGTTTACCACCATCCATAAACAGTACAACGAAATTCAATGGAACTATTTGCATAAGAATCAGGAAAAAGGTTAAAAAGCTTAGAAGAGCCCAAAACGAACATCAAAGAAGGACTCTTTGGATAATTCACTCAAGTCCCTGGGGGTCTCTCCCGCCAAGCTGTGGGGGGTGTAGACTTGGTGGATCCATTCGTGATCGTGGGTGGGAACACACGGGCCCAGACTCTGTCTGATATTCCTCAAGTTTTTTCAGTGGTGGGGGACTCTTGTTTGTGCGATGGACTCCTGAACCTATGTGCCACAGTGGTGCAATGAACCCTTTTTATTTTCCCAATATTTTAACGGTTAATTGGTTTTATCCTTGCTTTTATCATCATTTATCGGGCGCAGGGTGCTGTGTGTTGTTCGTTGTATATGGTTGCTCTGCTTTTTGGTTTTTGTAAGCCATCCAGAGACTTTCAGTATCGGGATGGCATAGAAAAACTTAAATAAATAAAAATAAATCTCTGGGAAGTTCCCATACCTGCATCCCTTCCTTTTCATTGCTGTCCACAAAAGCACTTTTGATTCCTTCTGCCAGGGTTCCCCTGTGCAGAGCCCGCTCTCTTGGAGTCCACTGGGATCCTCCTGATTTTTATTTTCGTTCTTAAGATGTATTTAAAAATAGATTATTTTTAGCTGGCAGGTTGCAAGGTGAAGTACTTCCCTCCGGCACCTTTTTTAATTGGGTTCGAAAGAGTGTGTCTCACGTTGTGGAGCTTCGTCTCTGCTTTGCCCTTGCACAAGTTGGATTCCTTTTAGTCGCATCGGTTTGTCCACAGCAGTGCCTGGCCTGATAGCCGTTTCATGAATGCGCAAGTGTCCCTTCCCCACCCCGGCAGCCATCTTCTGAGGGTGGCCGCTCTTTGCAAATTCCAGATGTGCCCCGTGGCCCATAAAGCTTCCCCACCCCACTTTGACCCCTGTCCCTGCCTCCCTCTGCCACAGGAAGTCATAGAGGCCATTGCTGAAAGTGCGTTCAAGACGTCACCCTATCCGGTGATCCTTTCCTTCGAGAACCACGTGGACTCGTGAGTAGCTGCAGCATCCCCACAGCTGGAACGAAGATGCACCCCCCTTCCTCCCAGGGTTGGGTGATCCGGAGGTGCCTGCACCGTGCATAACCTTTTATTCCCCACTGTCTTTCCTTTTCCTAGGGCGAAACAGCAGGCCAAGATGGCAGAGTATTGCCGAAACATTTTTGGAGATGCGCTTCTCATTGATCCCTTTGAAAAGTATCCAGTATGTTTGGGATGAACGGGTGGGGATAACAATGTGGGTGCCACAGAGAATAAATCTTGGCTTAATCCAACCTGGCTTAATCCTGGCTTAATCCAGCCTGTTGGGTGTGTGACGAGGAGGCTTCTGTCCCCCTCTTCTAATTCCAAGCAGGCTGGTGTGTTTGAGAAGGATTTCTTGCATTGCTGGTTTGATCCCCTCGAAAAAACTACACGGAGACTACAGTTTCCCTTCATTCTGACTGTTGGCTGGGCTGATGGGAGTTGTAGTTCATCAGTGTCAGAAGGACTGCCTGCCCTTGGTCTGGCTCCAGGAGACCCTCCAAGGCTCCTGGTTCCCAGCCTTGTGGCGTTCTCCAGTGCTCCCTCGGCATTCTCGTGCAGCATCTGTTTGCAAATCCTTTAGGTACACCGGGGAGGCACTTGGAAAATCACTGCCTAATTACCTCTCAGTTATCCCAGTGCCTTTGCCTCACTGGTCTAATCCACCGGCAGGTGTATGCAAGTTTCCTTCTTAAAGCAATTGAGTTAAATACAGACTGCACACGTTCCCTTTCATGTCAAGTATACAAATTCTGATAACTGGTGTTGTTTCTTAAGTTGAGAATTCCTGGAAAGGGCCTAGAATATCTTGGAGGTCTGCAGCAGCCCCGGTCTCCAAGTTCTCCTTTGGGGGTTGTCCCGCTCGCGTTCTAACACGTATGAGCAATTTCACCGCCATTCAGTTTAACATTAACAATTAACTTTCTGCTTCTCTGCCGCTCTCTCCCCTGGCAGCTACAGCCTGGCATCGCCCTGCCAAGTCCCCAGGAGCTGTTGGGACGGATCCTGGTGAAAAACAAGAAACGGCGTGCGCACGGCAAGGGGTCCGAGGGCAGCATACGGAAGAAGCTGGAGCAGACGCCCAGCTCCTACAGCGATTCCTCAGGAGTAGGGGAACCAGGTATGTGCACATCCCTCTTCCTTTTTGAAGAGAGTTCCTTGTTGGAAGGAGTCTGTCAGAAGCAAAGCCCAGGAATGCTTTCATAGATGACTCATTCTAGAGCCAGGAAATACTATATGTCAAAGAAGTATTATACGTTATGTATTTTGGAATTTTATTTGTGCAAGTCATCCTGAGACTCTCGCAAAGGCGGCATACAAATATCTTGAATGAATGAATGAATGAATGACCTGCATCATTTTGTGATGAAAGCTTTTGGCTTTGTAGGAGAAGGAGCGAACAAATCATGCAGAGACTCTTCCCCAGGCTTAGCTGTACAGTCCACCTGCTTTGCACTTGGGAGGTTCCAGGTTTAGTCCCAGTTTCTCAAGATTAAAAGGGAACAGGAAGACAGGAAGCAGGTGCCAAACCCCAAAGATCCCCTGGCTTCTTAGATGTCTTAGCTTGCCTTTATTCTGGGTAAACTTTGCAGCTGTGAGAGCTGGAAACTTGGGTCTGAAAATGACACAGAAGCTATTTTTCTGACGACAGTGGTGGAATGTGAATTTCTGGGGTGGCACATGTCGCTGCTTCAAGCGCAAGAGTCTGTTGGCAGCGGGGATTAGAGAAAGGGGCGAGTAGATTAGGCAAAAGACCCCCTTTTTGTGCTCTCGCTGGTTCAAAGGTTTAGGAATTTTCCAAATCACAGGGACAATAGTTTGGACGTCACCTGGAGGACTGTACCTTGCTTGGGCGCCTCACTTCAAGATGGGTTCAGATGATGGATTCAGGGTCTGCTGAATTTACCGAAGGGCAGCAGAGATGATCGGGGGATAGAAACAGAGGCCTTCAAGGACTGACTGAATGAGTTGGGTGTGTTTCGCTTGGGAAGAGAAGACTGAGCAGGTTTAGGCTTTCAGTACCTAAATGGCTGCCATAAACTGAGCAATGCGCTTGAATCAGTGGCCTCTTCATGATTCCCTGAACTGAAGATTTTTCTCTTCCTTTTTCACCCGTTGCTTCTCCTTTCAGAACGGACTCTCCGTGTCGTTTGCTCTGATCATTCTCTCTAATGCATCCCTTTCCCCCTTTCACTTTCTCCTTCCTCCTCAAATTAGGTTCCCCTTTTGCAGAACAGGCCGAGACTCTCTTGCCAATCATGACCAACGGCGAGGTGAAGCCCGACAGGATAGCAAAGTTGGTTGAACCTCGCAAATCTATTGGTGAGTTTGCCTGGGTGCAGAGGAGCAAGGAGTGCCCCTTTGTCAGGCCTGGGAGGGCTGCCTTGCCTTGTCCCCAGGAAACATTTCACATTTTTCCCAGAGTGGTTCATCTGCAGTCAGTAGAACAAGAGAGTCCCGGGTTACAATCTACAAAGGCACAGCATGAAAGGAAGAAGGGATGAGGAGGGAAGAGGAAAAAAAGCACAGCAGTCATTTTTCAGCAGGGTTGGTAGAATGACCATGCTCAGCCCCCTCTGCTCATCCTGCTGGGAATGACAACAGCTGAGGGAGAAGGGACTTCATGGAGTGGCTGAATGGTCCCATTCCTTCAGTATAATACAAGCCAGGACTGTCACTCTGAGGCTGGTATTCAAGGGAAGATTCGGTTCTGACACTCATTCATATCTGCATCTTATGACACTTCCCAAGACTGTCTGGACCAGGCCTCTGTATCGCTTTAACTGTGGTGCCTTCTCTCAAAGGGCCCATAGATTTGTAGTTCAGTAAGGTCTTCCCCAGAGGATTTCCCAGGTTTTGTGAGGGACCAGAACTGCCATTAAGCCAGTGCCAGGTCCGCAGTATAGACCCCCTGCTCCTGGTCAGTGTCCTTTGGGGGGGATCAAGCTTGAACTTCACCGCACTGCTGTTGGACGTGTCCTTCTAACCCACCTCACTCCCCCCCATGCCCAGACCGTGAAGCTGAGAGCGAAGAGGAGGAGGAGCAGCAGGACCCCAAAAAGCCCACGACGGATGAGGTGCGTGCCAGAGTGCCTGCCTTTGGCTGGCGCACCCACGATTCCTCAGGACACAGGTGCCGCCTTCTAAGTGGTGTAGAACTCAATGCGGGTGGATTGTCACCGCATGCCGAAACGTTGCATCGCATTCCCTTACACCCACTTCCCCACCTGGGGCTCTCCGGGTGTTTTGGACTGGAAATCCCAGCTTTCCTGAGTATTGCCCTGCTGGCTGGGGCTGCTGGGAGCTGTAGTCTGAGAGTTGTGGGAGGCTGCAGTACCTTGCACTAACGGCAATAAACCTGCATGATGTCATCGCTTGATGGCTTGTCCCATACTTGCAGTCCCCAAAACTTGCATAAAGCGTATCACCTTGTTCAAAGATCACCTTTGTCTGTCAGGTGGGTCTGTGGGGGGACCTCGTCCATGGCTGCTTTTCTTTTGAGCTACGTGGGAGCTATCCGGAGTGCTGAACCCTCTCCAACAGCTTCTTCACTCTGGGGCACCACGGCCAGCTCCCATGAAGTGCGAATGAACTGGGGACCCCTCCAACAAAGGCCTCTCCCGCCGACTTTCTCATGAGGCGTTGTTCATGTATCTCCGCGGAAGCTCCCTGCCCATAACCTGCCTTCCTCTGTCTTGCTAGTAGTACTGCGGGAGTCTGAATCTCCCTTATGTCAATGAAATGAAATCTCTTTCATTTTGCCGCCCCGTGCTGTCGCTCTGGCTTCCACCGTGTCTGTCTCGCGCGACAGGGCACGGCGAGCAGCGAGGTCAACGCCACGGAAGAGATGTCCACGCTGGTGAACTACATCGAGCCCGTCAAGTTCAAATCCTTTGAGGTGGCCAGCAGTGAGTGAGGGCTGCGGAGGGGGGGGATGTGAGACGCCGGAGACTGGGCCGGGGCAGGACGGGCCGGCCGTGTCGCGCGAGCAACACCCGTGCCATGTCGCTCTCGTTCCCTTCTCCCAAGAACGCAACAAATCCTACGAAATGTCTTCCTTTGTGGAGACCAAAGGCTTGGAGCAGCTGACCAACAGCCCCATGGAGTTCGTCGAGTATCCTTCCTTGCGGCTGCGCGAATGGGAAACGGTGCCCGGCCAGAACGGCCCTGCCGGTCGCTTTCCAGCCGAGCGAGCCAACCCTGGGGCAGCTCGACAATTTAACGGGGGGGAATCGTCCCCGTTAGTGGTTCCCAACCCACTAAGACTTCCTACAGCGACGCTAAAAATAGATTTTTGAGCAAAGAGAAATAAGATTGGTATATATCTCTTTGTGGACGCTACGCGTGGTTGTTTCTTTACGACGCTGTGGTGATTCGTAGCGGCTCTCATTTTCCCTTCTTCTCACGAGAGGCTGAGAAGCCTTTTGTGAGAAAGCGGTTCTGTGGTCGAAGGAGTGCTAGCCTAGGGCTTGGAAGGCCCAGGTGTGGTTCATGGCATATGATGTGATACGGCGTCGAGGGCTAGTATGAAAGGAAGCCTGCAGGGCCGTGACTCAGGAGATCCGGGTTCAAGTCCTCACTCGGCCTTGACACTCACAGGGTTGTTGTGAGGATAAGCTGGGGGAGAGTTCCCTGTGCCGCCTTGGATCTCTTGCAGGAAAGAAGGCAGGGTAGAAATAAATGCATCGATGCCTTCCAGGGCTTTTTGGATATTTGTGGCACATGGTGGGTGCTGACAGCCAATCCCCAGAGAGAAGCAGCTCTTTCACCTGCTCGCGGCAACCCTTCTTCTTGATGTTACCTTGACCGACATGCCTCCCCCAGATACAACAAGAAACAGCTGAGCCGGATCTACCCCAAGGGCACCCGAGTAGATTCCTCCAACTACATGCCTCAGGTCTTCTGGAATGCCGGCTGCCAAATGGTGGCGCTCAACTTCCAGTCTCTTGGTGAGTCGCCAGCAAGATTAACAGTGAGGACTAGCAACTTGATTTGTATATACAAGGGGTTTGGTGTGGGGAGGGGATGGTCTGTCCATCCAGTATGGACAGGCAGGATAATGTGTCACACTGCAAGTCACCAAGGAGGGGAAGCTGTACCCTGGGGCCTGCAGAGGCCTCCCATCCAGAGAGTCAAAAAAGGCCAGCAGGTTGTGTTTGGCTCGGTTTGTGATAAGCAGCACAGCCCTAGGCTGGCTCTCTGCTTGTACTAAATTACTAGATGTTTTTAAATGGTTTTTAAATTGCTGTAAGTCGTCCTGAGATATTTATATAAAGGATGGCATACAAAAGCCAATAATGAAGATGATGATACAGAAGCCGGTTGGCTTTTGGAGTGAAGTTCCTGGGCCCCGCAGGATCGTGCGGTGGAAGGGAAGAGTGAAAGAAAGAGCTCACGGTTCTTACTTTCCCGATCTCCAAGCCCTTCTCCTGCTCTCCTTGTGTGCCCAGACTTGGCCATGCAGCTGAACCTGGGCATCTTTGAGTACAACCGCCGGAGCGGCTACCTGCTGAAGCCCGAGTTCATGCGGCGCCAGGACAAACTCTTTGACCCCTTCACCGAGGACATCATCGACGGCATCGTGGCCAACACCGTCAAAGTGAAGGTTTGCATGCCGGGGGGAGGGCTTATTTATTTATTTATTTAGAAAATTTCTGTGCCGCCCCATTCGCCGAAGCCTCGGGGCGGCTCACAAACATCTCTGTCTTGTGCTGGTGTCCTTTTGGTTTTCTTCTGCTTGCCATTTTCAGTCCTGTGCCCATTTCTATTCTGATTCTGAATGTTTGGCACCAGAAATTATCTTGTGGACCCGCAAGAAATATTCTGAGAAATATTTTAAATAAATACAAATATCCCCAGATAATTTCCGGACAATTCCTGTCGGACAAGCGAGTGGGCATCTACGTCGAGGTCGACATGTTTGGGCTGCCAGTGGATACCAAGCGCAAATTCCGGACGCGGACTTCTCAGGGCAATTCGTTCAACCCGGTGTGGGACGAGGAACCTTTCGTGTTCCACAAGGTGAGCTTCAGTGCGCGGAAGTGGCTCGGGGTGCAAGGTCCCCCGAAAGACCAAGAGATGGACGCAGTGCCCTTCTTATTCACATAGAGGTATATCTGTGTCGTCATGTGACACAGCCCTCCCAGGGAACCCTGGGAATAGTAGTTCTGTGTGGGGCAGCAAGGGCTGTCTGTCCATGTTCCTGGCCTGCTGCTGGGCCACATTGCCCAGGATTCCTTGTGGGAAGCCATAACAGTCAAACCTGGCATAAACTGAGAGGGCCTGTGCAAAAGAGTGACAGTGGCACTAAGAAGTTAAACTGAAAGGTTTGGCCAGTTTTGTCCTTCGCTGTATTAGCTGAGATCAATTACATCATCAGGACCAGAGGCAGTGTGGAGTAGTGGTTGGGGCAGTAGCCTGGGAAGGCCCCAGCTTCTGGTGCTGGCTGGGCAATGAAGCTCGCTGGGACCTTGGCCCAGTCACTGACTCTTAGTCTGGCCTACATCACAGGGTTGCTGGGAGGGTGCAGTAGGAAGGAGGGGGATGGCTATGCCCTTTTGGGCTCCCTGGGGGAAAGGTGGGAGATAAATAAACAAACATGGAGGTCTTCAAATGGAAACCAGGCGGGCGGCCATCTCTTAAAGATGTTCTGGCACGCTATGCTGTGCGTTTCGTAGGGGTTCAGATGGATGACCTCTAAGGCCCTCTCCAGTGCTAGGATTCTAAATACTACGAAAAGATTTGTGCTGTCACATTGCCCGTCTTTCCCCACCCCCAGCAATGAACCTTCATCTCTTCCCCATCAGGTGGTGCTTCCAACATTAGCTTCGCTCCGAATAGCTGTATTTGAAGAGGGGGGGAAATTTGTTGGCCATCGGATCCTCCCCGTTTCGGCCATCTGCTCAGGTGAGCCAGGCCCCTTTGGGTCATCCCCCCCCACACACATCCACACACACACACATACACAAAGAGAGTCTGACCTGGGCATTGTCGTTTGATTACCTCTGTGCTTTTGTGCTGTCCCACAATGCACTTCTGTGAAAGGCATGCCCCCTCCGTCGCCCATTTGGTTTTCCTTTGGCACCTAAAACGGTCCAATATTCACATCCCGTCATCTCCCTGGCTTGAAAAAATTGTGGGCCAGACTTCTGAGGAGCACTTCTTTTTTGTTCTTTAAGGTGAGATTTTATTTCACAGTCAAGTGACCAAAAGAATGGGAACAAAATGACGATTCATAACAATGAACTAATCAACATTGCTAAAGGTGTGTTCTTGAACAAGAAAAAGGCCTCTAACTTCCAGCATGCTAGAAAATTAGAAGCCTTTTTCTCCATTTGGAATTGCATATGATTGCAGCCTAACCAGACAAAGGCATTTGCTAATTATTCTTCCTCAGTAATTGATAGCCTAGTTTACTGTCAAGGTTCATAAGCCTAAGTTGGAGCTCGGTACCTAATGGAAGAGTAAAAGTACAATTGCTGTGGCGTATTAGCAAAAGATGATTTTCTGGGAGCAGGCTCCACTGTTGGGTGTATAAAATAGTTTGGTGATATTGTGTATTTATTATTATTTATGTATCTATTTTTGAGGGCTTAATTTTTTGTGAACCACCCATGGGAGTGTTGGCTGTTGGGTGGTGAAAAACATCGCCATAGTCTGCCCAGTGCGACCGGCTTCATCAGAAACCCCCAACTCTGACCACCTCCAAATATACCAGCCTTTGCTAATGGCTCCTTCCCCTGAATTTTCCACCCCACCTCGAATTTCACATTGTGTGCGTGTGTTTTCCCTCTGCCTCTCAGGATACCACTACATCTGTCTGCGCAGCGAGAGTAACCAGCCACTCTGCCTCCCGGCGCTGCTGGTCTACACAGAAGCCTATGACTACATCCCAGATGATCACCAAAGTAATTGGCGGCTTCAAGTTCCAGGATGCAAATCTGGGGAGTGGGAACTGCCACTGTCTTCTGCCACTGGCTATGTGAGCGAAGACGGGCGGGGATTCCAAGCCGGCAGCATCCAAGGGGCCGCACGTGTCCCCGGCGCTCTCACCCCCTACGGCAGATGGTGTAAACACAGTCACAGGGTCCCTGCTGGGTGGGCCAAAGATCAGGGTCATCTGGCATCCTGCTTCCTGCAGCGGTCGGCCAGAAACGTCCAGGGTGGCGTCAAGCAGAGCACAGAAACGCGAACCTCTTCATGCAGCTGCCAGCATCCGTCAAGGACCGCCTGGAGGCTTTTCTTGCTCGTTGCTCCTTCCGAGAGCGAACTTGGGCCTCGAGCGCCGACAGGATTGCATCCAAAATGGGGTGGCACGGAGGAACAAGAGGAGGGTTGTCCCAGAGCGCTTGGGCCAAGCTCTGCAGAAGAACAGAGGGGGTTCTTTTAAAACCCTGCGGGGTCTTGCATGCCGACCGGACCGGGAGCAGCGTCAGTCCACCTTGAGGGATTTCTCGAGCTCTCCTAGGGGGACAGAAAGACAGACGCGATATTCCCTGGGGGAAAGAAGGTTCGGGGGCAGAGTGAGAGAGCCAAGGAGAAGCACGGGGGAGGGGGTGAGGGCACAGACCAGTTTTCCTTGGCATCTGAGCCGCCGTGCTGGCTGGGAATCACGGCCAGCGCCAGTGCATGAAGCGACAACTCCCAGCATTCTGAGCCAGGCGGCTTGGAGATAATGGGAGTCGAAGTCCAAAGCCTCTGAAGGCACTCGGCCGAGGAACGGATCGCCAAGCATCACGCTGGCAGGTGCAGGAAACGCATTTCTTTGCACGTGACGATTTACGGATCGTGGTTTTCTCTTTCCCAATGTAGATTATGCGGAGGCATTGATCAACCCCATTAAGCACGTCAGCCTGATGGACCAGCGGGCAAAGCAACTGGTGGCGCTGATTGGCGAGAGCGAGGTGAGGGCAGCGGGGGGGCAGGCGTGGCACGGGCTGGAAGGGGGACCCTGGGCGGGTCTTGTGGGCAGCCAAAGGAGGAAAGGCGCACGGTGGGGGGGTGTCCAGCCCCCTCTCCGTCCTTGCTGATGCCGCCCGGCGTTGTCTGCAGGAGAACACGGAGAAGCCGCGGGAGAGGCTCTTGCGGAACTCCTCCAGCGCAGCCATTGGGCCCGCCGAAGAGGTGCACAAGCCGCCGCTCACCCCGCTTTCCCCGACCAGGAGCCCCAGCGTGGTCCCCACTCAGGGTGAGCGTCCGGAGCTTCGTAGCGCCCTGCCCTGGGTGTGACAGCAGCTCATCTCCGCCCAGCCGCCTGCTTGCCCCTCGCAAGACTGTGGCGGTGGGGCTCCTGGCCCTTCTGCCCCAGTCGTGGCTTGCTCCGTGCTGCCGGAGACTCGGCGTCGTGTGCGCAGTCTTTGCTCTGCCCTCCAGCCCCCAGCGTGGCCCACGAAGAGGGATAATGACCGAAAGACACCATGCAAAAGGAAAATGGATGGGGTGGGAGGAGGAAACATGCAGGCGCCAGCTCTTCGCATGGTATTCATCACATGCTCCTTGCTTCTGTGTGCGTGCAGTCCGGTGGGGCCTGTTTCCGCACCTCCCACTGCACCCCCTGCCCTTATGAGAGCATTGCTGTAGCAGAGGCTGGGCAATGCATCCACCTCATGCAGGGCTGGACCTCCCCTGGAGGAATACGCTTCTTAAGAGGTGCTCTTCCCCCCGATTTAAGCTTCAGCTCCATCTTTTTCTCCCTTTCTCCTTCTCTCAACTCCACAGTGCAAAGGGATGATCTGATCGCCAGCATCCTGGCAGGTAAGGCGGGCGCACAGGTTGGGCCAACACCGGTAGCAGTACGGGACGCGTGTTCGTTAGCTCCGTGGGTTCTCCTGAACGAGCAGTCCTGCCTCCAGCAGGATCCAGGCTGGGTTTGCGCTGCCGTGGCACTACAAGCGCGCATAATTCCCTGCTCCGGAGAATCTCCACTGCCTTGCGCTCGTGTTTCTGCCTGGCTGGCTGGCTTGTTCTCCTCAAGCTCCTAGTCCTTATAATAATGGTGGAGAGATGCTGGGGAGCGTATGGGCAGGGGCTGGCCGAATGCGCCTCGGGCTCCTTCGCCTGGGCGGGCGCATGTCACTCTCTCAGCCACTGTGTGCCGTCTGCCTCCCTAGACGTGTCCCCCCAGTCTGTGGAGGAGCTCCGGCAGCACAAGGCCTTCGTGAAGCTGCTGAAGAAGCAGTACCGGGAGCTGAAGGAGCTCCGGCGGAAGCACATGAAGAAGATCTGCAGCCTCAACAAGAAGCAGAGTGCCCAGTCTCCCGTGGGGGAACGGAGCCGGGCCCGCAGCCTCGGAGGGTAAGGGGGCCAGTCCTCGGGCGAGGGAGCTCCCGTCCGAGGCCGGCCCACCTCTCCTGCGTTGCCGGAGCACACGTCTTCCTCTTAGTGCGCAGACTTGAGTGCCGGGTGCATCCTCTTTGTGGGCTGCCAGTGCCGCGGGGAGGCTTGTTGGGGTGTCTGGCCATAGCGAGATGCTCCTTGGACACCTGCTGGGGAGGAGCCTCCATCATCCTCCGCAGGGAGCCGTGCCTGAAAAGCGTAGGTAGCTGCGGGCGATGCAAAGGGCACAGCCGGGGCACTTAAAAATATACTTGCTGGCGTTGCTCGGGTCTTTTGGTCCACTGGATCCCCCCCAGCGCTGCCACCCCCACCCAACAATAAGAGGAAACCGGATATAGTTTAAAAGTACATTGCAGCCCCAAACAGGCTTCCTTGAAAGTGAACTCTATCAAAATCCTTATAGCACGTCTGAGAAAATGTCAAATTTGAGATTAAAGCAAAACATATCAGTCCTCTTGTTCCAGAAATCTCAGCACCGGAGGATGGATAATTTTAGCCGGAAGCCAGTTTGGAGACGCTCCGGAGGAGGGTGTGGGTGGAATTCTAGTGGAGGGCAATTGAAGGCAAAAGAGGCAGAGCCAGAAATACCGGAATATTTTACCTTTCTCTCCCTAGCTCTCAGTGTTCTTTGGAAACCATACGCCAGGAGCATGAGGGAACACGCCGGAAAGTGGATCTGCAGGACTGGCAGATAAAAGGGCTGCTGCAGCTTCGGGAATCTCAGCACCAGTTGGAGAGGGACTGCAAACGGGAGCACCTGCGGCAGGTACCCGAGGGGACCAGGGCCTGGGAAGGGCAGGTCCCCGCTAAACCAGCCCCACGGCTGCAAGGAGGAGGTGCTCACAGGGAATTTTAAACTGCGTTTTTCCATTCTGAAGCGAAATAGCCAAAGCAGAATCCAAATAGCAAAGATATTTATGTTACGCCTACATACATTTAAACGTATCTATTATACATAATCTTCAAATATCCATATATTTGGTCTGGCTTATGTATAAGGCCATATGAGAGTGCTTTCTTGACGTCGTTCACTCAACTATGGAAAGCAGCTTTAGGCCTTTGTCCAGGTCACTACAGGAGGTGAGGTTTTTTTCTTTCCAGCATTGTCGTATCCATCTTGTAGCTGTCAGAGGGGTGTAAGAAATCCATTTAACGTCAGCCATGCTCTTAACTTCCAAGAAAGAGATAGGTGATTTAAAAGAAAGCATATTAAAAGACAGCATATTAAAGACTATTCCAGTCCAAAGCTGATCTGTATTACTATTTCATTTCAAGAAGAGGTCAGCGCTGGGTATTTTCAAAGGGTAAGAATTAAAAGAACCATATGGCAGTTAGCCAACTTGCTCAAATGAAATGCAGACAAACTCACAGAGCTGTGATGCATCTCCAGTTGATAGTACTGAATTGCCTAAGAGTTCGGCCCACAATTTGGGCCTGTTTGTAAAGAATCATGCCTCTAGTCCTCATGGCAAAACCTGAAAAAGTATGTGTGTTTGTTTAAAACTTTTCTATACCATCCCATACTTAAGTCTTGGAACAGTTTACAACCAATTAGTCTAAAAAACAAAAAAATAAGAATAACATTTTGCAGTTTCTTGCTTAAACATCTGAGTTGGGGATTCCTGTAATCTACTGGACTGGAAAATGGAGCTCGACTGCAAAAGAATCTAAATGACGTTCTCTATTTATGTCAAATCTGATGCTGCTGAAAAGCCTCAACCCAGAGGGGGCTGATGGGATCTCCTGTCATTTACGACAGAGCTACATAGTCACCAAGGAAGAGGCAAAATTAAGTTCAGCTTCTTAAATTTGTGCAATTCCATTATTTACATAATTGTATACAGAAGGGGATTCTGACTTTCCTTTTTTAAAATCTCAGGTTGCATGCTGACCAGGGTGCTAGCATATGTAGGGCCATTTAACGTGATAATTTTAATCTTCCCAATAACCAGTGTTCTCTGGGCAGATTGCAGACAGTTAAAAGACTAAAATGCAATTCAAGTAGCTTGTGTGAGAACAATGCAAATGTTTACAAGAATCAAATAGAGCACAGAACCATGGAGCAATGCAGGAACAGATACAGATCTATAAAAACAGCCATTAAAATGTCAAACTAGGTCTTTTAAACGCCTGGAAGGAAGGAAAGGCCTTTGCTTGGCACCAGAATGATAGCTGGATGCAGAAAAGATAACCATCTCGGCTCCAGGTGAATCTGAATGCAGAATGGGGGAGTTTCTCCCGGGTGTATCTCCTCCTTGCCCCTTTCCCACAGGCAGCTGGTTGACTGCTATGTGAACAGGACGGAGCCTTGGTCCAACCCAGCGTGGATTTTCCATTGCGCTCAGCCCCTTCGGGGAAGGCCCGCCAGAAGTGGGGTGCTTCAGCTGAGGGGCCCTGCGCCCGGTAGCCCTCTGCCCAGCCCTTTTCAGCCAGGAGTTCCTAATCCCATGTGTGTTTCTGCCCTCAGGCCCAGCAGCGCTTGAAAGAAATCGCCCGGGACTGCCAGGCTGCCCAGCTGAAAAAGCTGAAGGAGACAAGCGAGAAGTAAGTTCTGGGATGAGGTGCAGGAGGAGAGAAAGCAGCAATCCGCCCCTTAGTCTTTGCAGGAGGACCTCCTGAAGCTGCCCGACTCTTCTCCGGAGGAGCAAGGGACGCTTCCTCACACCCTGGTTCAGCTTTAGAGCTGTCTGTACTGGCTGGCAGCTAATTTCAGGATGGCTGTCTCTCCCAGCACTAGGCAGGGGTTCAGACTGGGCCTTCCTGCCTGCAATTCGGGAGCTTTGCCATCAAATGGAAGTGCTTCCCCTAAAAATAAAGTAAGACTCTAGTCCTCATGATTTTGGATGGAATGTATAAGGCCGATTCCATGGGAATGTATAAGGCTGCTTTCTGCAGAGTCAGACTGTTGGATTATCTCGCTCCGTACTTTCTACACAGGAAATGTTAAAGTGGGAAATCTGGTAGTTTCCCATCCCAGACCCGTAAACAAGCCGGGAAGTGTCCAATAGCCGTAAGCCACAAATGGAACCCATGGTCCTCTGTTGGCTTATGAAGTCTGGCTTAAACCATAAGCCTGTTTTGATGTGAGAACAGTGACTTATGTCTGGCTGGTTTCTGTCCCAGAAGAGAGGGAACCTAGTGAGAGCAACTCAAAATGAAACCGCTTTGAAGGCTGACAGAATGGATGAGAGAGCGAGGAACCAAAAGCTCCTGCCGGTTTGCTTATCTGTAAGGCAATTCACAGAGAAAGCAACAGGCCTTGATTAAAACAAAACCACAGCTTAGGGTTTCATGTGAATTCACACATCCCACTGTGGTTTTATTTACCCGTGGGAAATTCTGTGTTGCACCGAGCACCCACAAGCATCATTTTTGCCCAAGAGCTCGCAACTTGTCCTGTCATGTGAACCCAGACAGCAGAACTGGTTTAAGCTAAGCGTTAGGCAGCCCTCAGATAAGCCCAGAACAAGCTGTGGGTTGTTTGTTAGCTGTTTAACCCTGAAGTGGCCACGTCTGTGTGGTTCTTGTGACATGAGCCAGGGCAAAGTCAGTGAGTGGCCCAGGGGTGGCTGCCAGCACAGTGCAACAGCCCCCATGGGCAAGGTGGGCTGCGGGTGGCCATGATGTGAGCCGCTGCCGGGGCTTCAGGTGGGACTTGATTGTCCGGTATAGGGGAAGGACACAGAATATACCAGCCACTGACTTATGACCCCTTTTCTCTCCTGCCCGGTCAGAGAGAAGAAGGAACTTCAGAAAATCCTGGACCGCAAACGGCACAACAGCGTCACGGAAGCCAAATCTCGGGAGAAGAGCAAAAAGGACGTGTGAGTTTGAGGCGGGAATGAGAAATGGTTAATTTCATCGAATGTTTTTTAGTCTGTGTTTTCCCCGGAAGATCTGTGCCAGTTGGAAAAGATTAAAAACTCAAACCTGGTGGAACCTGAAAGGATCAAAACAGGAAATGAAAAACCCCACACGAAAAGGTTGCCTTCCAAGTTCGCTGAAATTTACCCAGCTCAAATTGGTGTTTCGAACCTCGCCTGCTTTCTGGTGATGAGCAGAGCTGAAGGGGAAAGCCGGCACAGGTTGGCAAAAATGCCAGCAAGTTTTAAGTTAAAGCGTTTATTGCCGAAGCCTCGGGAGAGAGACATTGCTCCTTTTAGGATGGGGGAAAACCGCACAAAGGTTAGGAGACCACCTGTCAGCTGGTGGCTGTGGGAAAGGTGCGTGCGACCGTGCAGGCCTGCTTCAGCATCCCTCTTAAACAGACGCTGATGGGCTGAATTGACTAGGCCCGAACTGTTAGACCGATTTCCTGCCAGGGTCATGACCACCGCCTTCTGCACTGGGTGTGTGTGAGTGTGTGTGTGTGTGAGGAAGGGAGGGAGGGCGCTGGGAAATAGCGTGTTGTCTGTTCACCTTTAAAAGGCTTTCTCTCCTCCCACAGGGAGCTGACAGAGATAAATAGAAGGCATATCACCGAATCCGTGAATTCCATCCGCAGGGTACGTGTTTCATTCCGTTCTTGTTTCATATGCCACAATAGCAAGCTCAGTTCTTCATGTGCCAGTTGCTTTTTTAGCCAAAATTACCTCACTCATCGCACAACAAGAGGGAAGTATCGGCAGACTTATGGAACCCCCAAAGTTTCCGGAAGTAGACATAATTTTTAGGGATAAACCCCCATAAAGGCCTGGAGAAGGAACCTCTCCCCAGCAGCCTCAAGGAGACGGAATATGCTGAGCGGGCATAAACAAGAGATGGATAAAAATGACACTGTGTGGCAGGAAGACAATGGAAAACCAGTGAACAGGGAAAAATGGAGTAGTGTATCCTGAATATTATGTTGTCCCTGTAACCTGTCTTGACTATTACCCCTTTTGGAGCAGGTGCAAGTGGGCCTTGTCTTGCTCTGAATAGCTCTATGCTCCAGGCAGAGCCATTATTTTAAGAGGATGTCTAATATAGAGAGTGATGGGGAACATGGGTGTAGAGTGCTTGGTGCAGTCCTTGGCCAAGGGATGAGTGTCTTTGTATTTTGAATGCTTAGTCACATCGCTAGCAAGTTCCTGAGGTTTGCTGTTTGCTTTCTTTCCCAGATTTTGTATGGTAAACGTCAAGGTCAGGGCAGTTTGTGACTGCAAATCACAGCAAAATTTAAACGCACACCTAGCTCTAAAAAGACATTTTAAAAAAGCATCGTTGGAAATGATCCCTGCAGCAAGCTAAAAACACCCTGAAGGCTCAGCTTTAAAAAAAGAAGCCTTCTGGCCTCAAGAACTGGTTTATATGCTTCTCAAGAACAGTTTACTAGTGTTGGTGGTATAGTCCTCTCCAACTGGGCTTTTAGGGGTCGAAGGCTGCAAAGAGGGGCTCAGGTCAAACACTGAGTGAGATTTGCATGGAAAGACTTCCTGAGATTCTCAAACTGCAGCAATTTGGGGTGTTGAAAATCCTTTGAAGGCAGCCTGGAAACCGATTTGGAGAATCATGAAATGCCTCCCCGCCCCCATATCTCCCCACTGTAGTCTGAGTCTTTGCGAGCTTCTGGACGGTCAAGGGCCGCCCCATGTCAAGGGCCAGCGCGTTAATGCAGCCCGGCTGTAAGTCACAAACAGCCGCACTCCGTCTGCAGGAAAAGGGACAGCTGGCAAGCCCAGCTACTTAGCAATAGCATTACATAACTATTTCCTCCTTCTTCCTTCTGTCCCAAAGCTTGAGGAAGCACAGAAACGGCGCCAGGAGAAGCTGTTGGCCGGTCACCAGGGAATACTGCAAATGATTGAGGATGAAGAGCCACGAGTGAGTGTTGCAAAGGGTTCTGGGAATACCCAGATGATGATTATGCTGCTAAGGGGACTTTTTACGATGCCCAGGCAGGGAAACATCCTGGTCGTTTTGAGGACTGTGAGGAGCGAGACAACAAGGTTCCGGATGCAAAGTTTACCTTCTAGGGAGTGTCGCCAAGTCGTTAAAAAATTCTGCAGCCTTCTGGCAGCCTCCACTGACAATTGCAAAGCGGTGGAAGCACCGTGGCTATTTCTGGCACTCCAAGGCGCCCATCGCGGGGCCAGGGAAAGCACCGGGGCTGCCACAGGAACATTTCCATGCGGCCTCCGTCCTGAGGCGGCCATCAACAGTTTGGACTCCGCAGAAACCGCAGCGACTCTGCGCAGCTGGGTCAGCCCCTGCGCACCTTCGCATCTTTCTCCAGTGCCGTCCGAAAGCGCCGGATGTCAGGAGGGGATGTTAAGAGCATATGTTTGGACCAGGCTTTCAGAGCTTTCCATGGTGGTTTTTACGACATGCTCCGCTGGTTCATTTCGCTTTCATAGTACGAGCTCGAGGGTAGTGGGTGTTGCGGTTATTTTAATGTCAGGTACGACTGTTGGGAGGACACACTCCATGCAGTTGGGGTTGGGGTTCGGTTGTAACAGCCTCCCTGTTCGGGGCCTGTGCTGCAGGAGTCGCTTTGGGCATGGCTCTCAGCTGTTGGCGCTTGGCTCAGATCCTCATCTTTCTTCCTGTCCTCCTTTTCCCTTCCGTTTCTTCCTCCCCTGTTCCCCAGTTGGCCGCCCAGCTGGAACGCGAGTGTGAGCTGGAAGGCCTGGCCCTGCCCCAGGAGATCGGACGCTACCTGCAAGAGGAGCAGGACGGAGGGGTCAGCAATGGGCATCCGCCCGGATCCAGTGTCAGCCCCAGCCCGGCGGAAGAGGACCTGACCGTCCTGTGAGACGTGGAGGGGTGGCAGAGCCGTGCCACCGGCCACACGCGTGACGGGAGCCGTCTTCCAGGCATCTTCCCTCCCTCTCCACCCGGGATGTCGCCACAAGTGTGAGGGCGGCAGGCAGAGCCAAGGGAAGGCCAGCGGAAAAAAAACACACTAAAGGCACTTCACTTTTTCTCCTCCTTTTTTTGGTTTAAAGGACAAATTTTTTATTTTTTTAAACTAATTTTTTAATTAACTAACTGTACTTTGTCATCTCCCACTTCTCAGTTTGGGGCAGAAGATGGAGAAAGGCTTGGAGGGGAGGGACATGTGTTGAACAAGCCCCCCCTTGTGCACCCGTGGCAGAAATGCGGTGGGAGCACAAATGCTTTGGGTGGTCTCCCAATGCACTATTTAGGGTGGGGGGAATCTGGAACACCCCCCATCCCAATCCTCACCTGACCAAAAGGAGAAGAGAGGAGCAAAAAGGGCTTTTAAAACACGACCTCCTGCTTTTTTATTTAAAAAAGAGAGGTTGAAACATATTGCAGCAGAACTGTGCAGAAATTTTAACTCTCCCCTGGGGTCATTTGTGCTGGTCAGGTCCCATCTCCCCCACGGCACATCAGGAGAGCAGTTGAGGCAGCTGTGTAGGGCTGAGAGCAATGCGGGAAAGACGTGTTAAAAAAAGACTTTAAAAAAGAATTTGGGAGTCCGGTCCCTTTCTTTGGAGGATGGGTGGGAAGGACCAAGACGGGGCTGCTGTCGTTCCAGGCATGCAAGCTTGTTCCGGAGTTCTAACCTGACCCCTCTCTTTTTCTGGATGTAAGTTTTCCCTGTCTTTTTTTAACATAAATAATAAACCTGTAATTCAGTTGCCTTTTGTTTTGTTGCTTGGCAAGGTCAGGGCAAAGAGCGCTTGGATCCAAAGGCCTCCAAATCTTCAGGGCCACAGTTGCCATCATCCACGGTCAGTGGCCGTGCTGGCCGAGGCTAGCAAGAGTTGTCCAAAAGGTTCAGAAAGCCCAGGTTTAGGAAGGCTGGAAAGTGAGAGAAAGAGAGAGAGAGAGAGAGAGAGGATGCGTTCCAGGCAGCCGTTCTCCAGTGGCCATCGTTGTTCCAGACTCCGTAAGTGCATTTCAGAGGAGGGGTGTCCTTGATGCGGCACTTTTCGGCTTCCAAATGTGGTACTCACCTCACGGGCCTGTCTGAAGCCGTCCAAACTGGCTGCCGTTGCTTCGGTCTTGCGGTAGTAAATTGCATTGTTTAATTACCTGCTGCGAGAGAGTCCTTTGTTTTGTCTGTCCTGAATTTCCCCCGCAAGGCTCCAGGGAACGCGTCTGCTCGGACTCTGGTGTCATGAGAGAGAGAGAAGAAACTATTCTTGTCTCCTTTCTCGAGATTTCTTCAGCTAGAGCAGCTCCTTCGTGCACGAAAGATGCATCTTCCGCCACTGAGCGACAGCCAGCTTGGTTTTCCAAAGAGCTCGCTTTCGGCCTGACTTGCCCAAGGCTGCCGCTTGCTGGCCACACCGGGGTTCTTGGCCGTGCCCTGCCTGCTAGCCCACCACTACTCCTGAGCACGTCTAGAGTGGCCCCAGTCCCAGAGCTGAAGGCAAGTTATGGTAGAAATAGACGCTGGGGAAAACATCTTTTGGTGCCAGAGTGTTTGCCCAAACATGTCCTTTGGAAACCCTGTGAATGAACCTGTGAATGTTATGGTATCCCCCCCACTCAATCAATCAATCAATCAATCAATCAATCAATCTCTCTCTCTCTCTCTCTCTCTCTCTCTCTCTCTCTCTCTCTCTCTCACACACACACACACACACACACACTTTTGCTGAGACAGCTGAATGGTTTGCTTTCCTTAACATTTTGCTTTTAAAAAGAAGGAAAGGCGTTGATGGATTTGACAGCTGACAGAACTGTCAGAGTTTGGCGACACGTCGTCTCGACCCAGTGGCCTCCCCTAGGGAGCAGTAGGCAGAGGAGAGTGAAGGAGTTTCTCACCTCTGAAATCTACTTCCCAAGATAGCCATGCCGCGGTTTGAAAGTGATCTAAATATACGACGATGCAGCTCTGTCTTCAGGGGAAGAGCCGGATTGCAAAGCCTTTGGCAAGTGGCCGGTCAGAAGCTCCGAGGAGAGCGATCTGTCCATTCCCTGGGCAATCTGCGGGGTGGGGAGGAAGAGGATGTGGGAATTGGGTGAGATGAGGAGAAGCAGGAAGAAGGGGTGTCCTTTCAGCTCCACTCATCAGCAGGCCCCCCCAGGGTGGCAGGAGTCGGCCATGATGCTCCCAGGATGACTTGGGACTGTCACAGTCTCAGCCCAGCCTACCTCACAGGGTTGTTGTTGTGAGGATAACATGAAGAGGGGGATTATGCAAGGTGCCTTAGGTTTCTTGCAAATGGAAAAGGGCAGGTTATAAGTGCAAATTAATATTAATACTATTATAATAAATCAAAATAGGAGATAACACTTTGCCTGAAATGCAGCTCATCCACCTATGCTTAGATGCATAGAGGGGAGTGTGTGATTTTAATGGCTTTATTATTGTTTTATGCTCTCATATTTTATGCTTACCATTTCAATAACTTTCTGGATACATTTGAATAGGAAACCTCTCCCTTGGTAGGACAAAAAACAAAGCCAGCATTATTGCTAGCTTGCTTCAGTGCTTTTAGTAGCAGCCTGATGGGCAGAAATCCAGCAGGTGAAGCTCCTCTGGGCATGGAGGCAAAAGGGACGGGAAAATCTTTGCCTTTCTGCATTTTTAGGCTGTCATTAAAAGTCAGAGAGGGGGAGAGCTGGAGAAAGATTGTGAACCTCCTTGGAGGAAAAAAGGGGGAGTCGGGAGGGGGGATGTTGGGGTCCTTTCAGTAAAGCTGGCAGTGGCAGCTTGAGGGCGCCCTCTTGTGGCCACTGGTGCAAAAAACACCTGCACCCTGCCTTAAATTACTCTGCTGCACTGATGAAAGTTTGGGGTATCCGGGAAGGGGTGGGTTTTTGTGTGGAAGGACTCTGTGCTCTGCCCCTTCCTGGTCCTTAAAACCAATTCCCAGGCTCTGGATTTGTATTTCTGCATTTGTGTGACTTTCACAGCAAGCTCCATCTTGCAGGATTGGAGTAAAAAACTCCAACAAATTAGCGTCCTTCTGAGCTGGAAGTCTGCCTACACCTGGAATAGAGCAAGATCTTCCATGAACATTTTAGTTCGGGTTGATTTATCATTTTTTTTAACCACCTGTATTTTTCTCTTCTGCATCAGCATCCATAGCAGGCTACTTTTTAAAAAATGTTGCACGCTTTGAAAATAATATCAAGATACACAACTGGATGCTGTTTTAAAGGAACCTGGAGCTGTCTTCTCTAACTTAGTGCCTTCCAGATGTTTTGAGCCCCATCTCCCATCATCCCCAACCAGCACCGCCTGTGGTCAGGAACCCTTGGAGTCGTAGCCCAAAATGTCTGGCGAGTTCCAGGTTAGATTAGAAGCTTTTTTTTTGCAGAAAGAGTTTAACTCCTCCGAGTGAGGCTAGCTGGACGTCTGACAAAGCACAGTGGCTTTCTGACCATACGGTTTTTGTTCTTTGATCCATGCAGACGTCTCACATCTCAGCCCTCTCACTCCAGCACTGCTCTGCTAACCTGATTAAGGAATACACTTTTTTCCCCATGGTGTATCTCTGGATTGGTAATGCTTCTGGCACAGCAGGGGGAGAACAGCTCATCTTTTATATACATCCAATGTTCAGTGATCTTTTTGTTATATAAGTTTCCAGTTTGTTCCTGTTCTACAGATGCTGTCGTTACATGTCGTCTCATCATCTTCGACTTAGAGCAACCCTAAGAATGAGGGCCTGCCAGAATATCCTGTCTTTGACAGCCCTGCTCAGCTCTTGTACGCTCATCCAGTTGGTTGTCGCCATCTTCTTTTGCTTCTGGCTTTCCCTGGTGTCTTCTCTAGTGAGTCTTTCCTTCTCATCATGAACCCAAACTGTGATAAAAGTCATTTCCCTCATTTTTTGCTTCTGAGCACGATCTGGCTTGATTTGATCCAAGACTCACATGTTTGCCTTTTGGTTAGGTCGAGGGTATTCACAGAACTCTCCCCCAACACCCATGTTTAGAATGCATCCATTTTCTTCCGGTCTGCTTTCTTCAACTTTCACATCCATACATAATGATGAGGAAGACAAGATTGTGGAAGAGAAGGTCTTGGCCTTGGTGGTCTCCAGGTGATCTTTTCTACTTCCTTCACCACTATCCTTCCAAGTCTCAATCCTCTTCAAATTTCTTAGCTGCAGTCTTTGAGTTGATGATTGAACCATGAGATGCAAAATCTTTCACAATTTCAATTTCTTCCTGGTTCACAGTAAAGTTGTGTAATTCTTCTGTAGTCATTATGTTTGTTTTCCTAATGTTGAGCTGCAGTCTTGCTTTTGCACTTCAACAGGACTCAATTCATTGCTGCTTTCTGCCAGCAATACTGCATTCTCCACATCTATTGATCAATCTTCCACCCATTTTCACCTCCTTTTCCCTTGATTCTAATCCGGCATTCCCTATACATTCTGTGTACGGACAGAACATATATGGAAATGAAATGCAACTTTGTCTGATGCCTTTGTCTATAGGAAACCATCCTGTTTCTCCAGATTCTGTCTTAATAGTAGCTTCTTGTCCACAGTACAGGTTACGTATTGGGATATTCAAGTACCTCCATTCAGCCCCATTTTTCCGGGTCCATCCAGAGCTTCTCATGATCCACACAGGCAAAGGCTTTGCTGTAGTCTATACAGCACAGAATGTTCTTCTGAAATTCTTTGGTGTGCACCAGTAGCCAACAGATATGTATATAGTTGGAAAGCCAAACCACTGGAAAATAAGTTCTCGACACACAGCAATCAGCCGCATCAAATCCTCACGCCCTGCACTGCTGTTCATCTTGCAGGAAAGTAACCCCTTTGCACAGGCCCAGGACTGTTGAGTGGGAGAGGTTATTTTCGCAAAGGATTATAGAAAGCTGCTATACAGCACGCTGGATGCTCTGGCCAAAGAGGCTGGTATTGTCTGCGTTGAGGACGCTGAATCTCTTTCAGTTGGAGGGCTGGGTTCAGGCTTGTAATAGGCTGTTGGGGCTGCATTCCAAAGACGAGCAGGGCCAAACACAGGCATCTTTTAACTGAAAAGCACTCCCAGGACCTGGGCCTTAGGAGGAGCCTTTCCACCTTTTAGAAGGGGGGCAAAACTGTGCAGAAGCTGAGACACGGCCAAATGCGTGGCGGTTGGGGTAGGGGCGGCCCGCTGAGGCTGAGAACCCCAGAGCTGAACTGAGCATGCAGGATGCAACCCTCAGGCCTTAGCCTGCACAGGGCCGCGTTGGTACGCAAGTGAAGAACGAAAGTAAAGAACCGGCGTCTTCTGCATGAAAACAAGACTTGTGCATCTCTAACCTCGATACCGCTTTTTTGGTGATGTTTTTTCTTTTTTAAAAAAGCACAACTTCCTCCAGCAAGTTTTAAATTTTTTTAAAAAAATACACACACTTGTGTACACACACACACAAAACACAAATCGAAAATAGCACAGGCACCTGGACATAAAGGGAAGGAGACGAGTCTGGGAACCGGACAGCAGCCACGAGCAACTGGCAAAAGACAAACGTGCAAGAATGAACACCGTGTGACGTACAGACACACACGGGGCTTAAGAAACTGTCATGCAAACCGAGGGCATGAAATGCACGGATGTTTTCCCCTCTTCAGGGTGGGGGTGGGACCGCTTACTGCAGCTATGACAAATGGGGGGGGGAATAAAAGGGAGCCCACATTAAGGGAAGGGACAGATGTGTCAGAGCTTTGTGGCGGGGTATCCTTCCTTTTTGTTAAACAAAAATAAGTTGTGTTTTTCGTTTCAGTTAAATAACTCTAACTCAATAGAAATCAGTTCTGTACAGGAAAAAAAAGGATATGAACGGATTTGGGGAAGCAGGGGGATCTGGGAACTGTGTTGCGAAGGTTGTGGGGATGGGGTAGGAAGACGAGCAGCGATTCTCTCTTGTTTGTTTTTTGCTGTTTGAGATTCTTGTGCTGTTCTGGTCTGTTGTAAGAACACAGATATTTGGAGAGGGAATGGAATGTGCTTGGAACAGGACCCAGTGGGAGTTTGGTACCCTTCTCCCACCCCTTTTTCTTGTTTCCCCCCTCTGTGCCTCCCTCCTTTTGATGCATTTGTTGGCCAGGAGCAGGAGAGGTAAGGCTAACCTGACCTTAGCCTTACAATCCTGGCCTGGCCGAGCCCCGTGAACGTTGTCCAGGGTCCCGGCCTTCGGGCTAGAAAGAGGTCCAGACGCAGAGGTCTCTCCCTGGCCAGTGCTGGAGGCAACAGAAGACTCGTCCATCCGCTGGACACAGAACTGAGACGCAGCACGAGCTGGCCAGGGCTTGACCTGCTCCTGCGGAAAAGGACTCCGTTCCCATCACTGCCAATTCTAGGAAAGGCCTGTCTCTACCAGCAGCAGGAGGTGTCCCACACCGGGCAGGGAAAGCAGGGCTGTGGCCCAGCATGGGTGCGTGTGTGTGTGAGGGGGTCTCCTTTCAAGTCATCCAGGGCTCAGTCTCCCAAGATCTGGGCAGGGCTCACCCTTGCACCAAACCCGCAAGTGCATCTCCCCCGTCCGGGCTCGTCCCTTAGAAGCCCTTAATGTGGCAGTAGGCCTCCAGAGCTGCCAGGAGGATGTAGATCAGCCACAGGCAAAGGAAGAGCAGAGTGGTGAGGGCTTTAGGGGTTCGCGGGCCGCCCAGTTCTCCGCTGACGGGTGCCCGGCGCCGGTAGAGCAGCACGGCGATGCTGATGAAGGCAAAGATGGTAAACAGTGTGACCGAGAAGGCCAGCGTGCCCGGCTGCACCCGGAACGGCTGGCCCTGGCTGGCCCAGTACCCAGCTGCAATGGTCCAAGCCACGCCGATCCCGAGGAAGACGTTGACCGCATTGCTGCCCGTCACGTTGCCGATGGAGGCGTCAGCGTACTGGTCTTGGATGGCCGCGACTTTGCTGGCGAAGGTGTCTGCAGGGAAGAGAGAGAGAGGGAGGCGTGGCTGGACGGCACGATGGCTGGCCTAGTGCAGGGGTGCAGAACCTCGTAGCTGGAGGGCGGAACTGGCGCAGCTCTCGGGAGGGCCGGTGCTGGGGTGGGAGGAGCCGGGGCCAAAAGTACCACCATGTTCTAGTCTGAAGCCTTTGCTGCCAGTAGTTAAGCCTTAAGAGAGAGAGTCTAACCTCTCGGGAAAGGGAGGAAGCCTCCGACCTCTTGGTAGCTGAGGAAAAAGGGGGTAAGGCTAGCGGGGGAATGTCAAGAGGGCTGGATCTGGCCCTACAGTTCCATCCTCCAACTTGGAGAATATTGTCCAGCCTTCTGTCTTGAAGCTAATTTAAGTATAGGAAGTTTATGATGGGTACCAACCGAATGGGAAACCATGATTTTCACAGAGAGGGTCTAGCATCTTACTGCTTTAAATCTTCCAGAACTAGTGCTCTGGAGTTCCTCCACCCAGCTGCCTTCATTTGGACTCCTGTTGCAATAAGCCAAAATATTGAACAAACCTTTAAAATTAAATGTAGCTATGGCTAAAGCAATAGCACTTGATGGGGAAAATACTTCAAAAATGTTGCTGGCTTTAACAGAAGCACTATGTTCTTATCTGGTTCTTTTTTTATTGCTGAACAATCGATTAAACATTTCAGCCATATATAGATATAGATTTTACTGGGGCTGCCAACCAATTGTAGTTAATCTCCCCACAAATCCATTCATTATTTGAATGCAGTTAAATCATGCCTATAACTCACAGGTTTGCCAATGAAAATTGGCCACTAGCCTTTAGCTAAAGCTTTCAACCAGCTAAAGCATGCAGCCCCTTGTAAAGCAGTTCAGGTCTGGCAAAGCGTTTTCTTTTGGAGCCGGTAGCTCAGGTTCCACAACACTTCTTTTAATTCACTTGCCAAAGAAATGTTTTAGCAAAGCAAAAATGAAGGCCGCGGGGGGGGGGGGGGAGCTTTGCCATCAATTAGCAAACTCAGCTCTTGGGATGAAAATGATTTTACCTTATGTGTTAATTATTGTGACTAGGAGCGTCAGCCGAAGGGCTCGGAACAAGCATGCAAGAGGTTTTGAAGCAAGGCCCAAGGCTCATCATCTAAGGGGTGAGTTGTTGCCCAGTGTGGATGCTGAGATGTATTCAAAAGCATTCAAAAGACTCTGCATCTTCCTAGGATGCTGTGAGATCAGAAGGAATACTTTCTGGAGGCTAAGCTTCAACAATGCGCATGTACATGGTGTTAACCCCTCCATTATGATCAAACTTTTTAAAGAGCGATGCTTCAGTGTGGGAAGGAGAAGGGAAAAGTCTTATCTCTGACAAGAGGGCGAAGATCAGTTGGGGATCTCTTACAGGCCAGAGCCAGTCGCCGTCCAGAGATTTTTCATCCCTTCTTTTAAATAAATAAATATTTCTCCCAGCGCCATAAAAGCAGCTGCTTTAAAAAATGGCTGCATCATTCCGTTTTGCAACCCTGCTCCAAATCCTCTCCAGAATCTGCTTGCTGGGACACTGCCTGTGTAATATATATTTGGGCATTTAAGCACTTTCTGGCGCTGGCGTCTCTTTCCGAATGAGATTTAGCCTTATCGTTATTTCTCCACCAGCCTGTCGAGAGCCAGCGCGAGGGAGCTTTTCTCGTTTCTAATCCCGTTCTCCAGACAGTCTGTTAAATACAGCTGCCTCTCTTCTCCGCAATCCTTGCCCCTCCGCCCCAGCCTCTGCAGCCGCTTCTGGCTTTGTCAGCCGCGTGTTCAAGAACCGTTCTGCTTTTTCATCCAAGGCATTAATATGCGCACAAGGGGAATGCAGCTTAAACGGCAAGAGCAGGCGTCGAATTTTCTGCGTCGAATTTTCTATAGCATGCCAAAGTATGTGTGTCTTTGGGGGGTGGCTCAGGAAGGGTGCTGGTGAGGGTGAGCTAGCCATCGTTATATCTTTTTGCCCAGCTCTGTTCACCTGAACGCCTGCTACAAGCTGCCTGTCGGCTGCCTTGAAACTTAAAAAGCACTTTATTTTCTAAGGTGCAAAAGTGCCTCATCTGCTCATACCGTGCCCCATTTGCTTGTGGTTTCCTGAACACTGTAATCATCACACGCATCACCACCAGGAGACAAAAGCAAACTCTAAACTGGGGTGTTGTTCGTTCACACTGGCCCTTTTTTGATGGTGGGCCCAAGTCTTTAAAAAAAAAAAAAAGGACCACCAAAACTACCTGGAAATTATGATCAATTGAGTGGTGCCCCAGTGGTGTTTTCTATGAGCACACCTGCAAAGGTACACTAGTCAGAACCCTGGCGAGCTTCCGTGTTTTTCTTCCCGTGACAACTGTCAAAGCACTAGGGGCGCTGAGCGGGGCTGGTGCCACGGGGGCATGACAGGGCACCTGCCGAGGCCCCACCCCTCAGCTGGCAAGAACACCACAGCATTGTCTCATTTCCACGGTGGCCAGTGAAAGGCAGAAGTGGGGAGAAAAGGCCAGGCTTTTGCGCAAGGATCTTGCAGCTGCTGGGTGAGCATCAGCAAAGCCGGCACGGCCCTCCGGGGAACAGTCAGAAGGCCGGATTGTGCCCTTGGTGTTACCATGCCGAGGATTTGCCCTCTTCCCTCACTTACCGGGCACGGAGGTGCCCAGGGCCACGAAAACCACTGCCGTGACGGAGTCCTTGAGGCCGATGGTGCAGCCGAAGTGGGCGGCCAGGTCTCCGGTGAGGGCTGTGAGCACCCCGATGAGACAGATGGAGACGAAGAAGCAGGCCCAGCCGCACCAGTACTCGGTCGGCGGCACGAACGCAAAGAGCACTTTCCAGAACACCGTCAGGAAGTGCATGATGTAATCGAAGCATGACGGGAGGCGCTCTTCGCCAGAATCGTCGTCCTCGTCATCACCTGGGGGAAATTATTATTTAATGCATTGTTATACGTGATTTATTCAATGCATGGGCCCAGGCACTCTGTGGCAGGGCAAACAACCCTGGGGCATCAGGGGGTGCCTGAGCTACTCCCTGCTCCATCGTCCCCACCCACCCCACCTTTCCCCTGTTCTAACATGGACCGCAGCAGCCCCCGCCTGATTGGTCCATTGCAGCCCCAAGCCAGGCTCACTCTTCTCCCCTTCCCCCCTTCCAAATGGGCCTGCAGGACTTCGCAGCCTCCTCAGCCCCCACAGAGATTTAATTTAATGAAAATAAATAGTTTTGTTGCACTTGCCCCGTCCTGCCTCTGTGCATTTCCCCCGCTGTTTCCAAAAAGCAATAAATCGGCCAATAGGAATAAAGAAAGCCATGACGCATCTGTTGCTGGGGGGAGTGGAGGGACTGATACGCAAAGGCTAGAAGTGGCCACTTTTGCGGCCGCTCTTGCCGGGAGCTCTCTATGGTGTTTCTATGGCAACCGGGGTAAAATGGCGGATCCTGGGCCTAGACGACTGGAGAAGCCTGGGAAAGTGTCAGAAAATGGTTCTCGCCGCACAGAACTGTGGAACCGGGTCCAGATGGCGCAACAGTCCCAGCACGGTAAGGTTTCCTTGCGTCGTGTGAACCTGCCCAGCATGTTGTGAGGGGGTCCCCCTGGGCGAAGACACTTGGGTGTGGCCACAGTGAGGCCGGGAAATGGCGCCATAAAAGCTTTGCTCGGAAGCCCCTGTGGTGAGGCGCTTGTTGGACGTGGGTTGAGGCAGCTGGTTAAGCACATGTAATGTCTGGGTTCATCCAACACAGCAACCTTGCTGAAAAGTTGAGTGCGGGCTGCCTCAAACAGGACTCTTTTGTTTATAAGATTTATAGCCCGCCTTTTTTCTTACAAGGAACTCAAAGCGGCTTACATAATTCTCGTCTCAGTTATACCCTCACAACAACAACCCTGTGAGGTAGGCTGTGCTGAGAGTCTGTGGCTGGCCCAAGGTCACCCAGCTGGCCCCCAGGCTGAGCGGGGGCTCAAACCCAGATTGCCTCACGCTCTAACCACTACACCACAACAGCGCTTGGTGAAAGGCGGGCCCAGCCAGACTTTGGCCCGTCAGGCCAGAATTGCCAGCAATGACTCCAAGGGCTTCTCTGGGATGTCGGGCAGGAATTTCCCCTTGCTCTGTTGCGTGGCATCGGAGGCTGCACTGGGGACGTGCACAGAAGCAGGCCCTCTGCCCCCAAGCAGCAGCCCCCATCTTTTGAGCCCCAACCCCCATGTTTCAGTGCCTTTCTTACCAGCGCTGACAGTGACGGCACTGACAAACTGCTCCCTCCAACTGCTGCTGCCAACCACAAGTGCCAGGTTGGTTTTCTTGATTAATTTATCCACAGTGCTCTGGAAGAAGAAGAAGAAAAGCGGGGGTGAGTTGCGGTGAAGGCATGCAGGCAGGTGAGGTGGTTTCTGGCCACTTTTCCCCACATCTGCCACCACGGCAGGAATTGCTGTCCGTGTTGACTTGGATGTTCCGGCCAGTGGCCAAGGATGGCTTGGGAAATGACATTTGGCACGGTGCCTTCACCATGCCTGTGCAGCCCAGCCAGGAAGGGTATTGGAGCATACGGTGGCATGAAAAACTGGGAGACAGATTCCAAGCAGGGTTGAGAAGTGAATACTGGGAAAAATAAAACACCACTCTCGGTTATTTTGGTTCCCGACTCCTAGCTGAGCAGATCAGAGGAAGCTGCCCCCACTGGTCAAGGGACTGTTGGATGCAAACAAGCAAGTTCCCAGAGAGTGTCCAGTAAGTGTGAGGGAACAGGGGGAGCTTACAGGAGTTTGGCAGCAGAATTTGGAGGGGGAGGTCAAGGGGGAAGGTCCTACGTTTTTTCTTTTCATTTACCTCTTTCCCCTGAGTCCCCCGCCCCTTGTTTTCTTCCATTTACTGGTAGGACTGTGTTGTTAACCTTTAGGGAAGAGAGGAGGAAGATCTAGTTGTTACTAGATCTGTCTGGATTTAATTTGTTGATTTGATTGTTCGATTTTATGTGGTTTTAGTTCTATCCTGCCCATTAGCCAAAATGGGTCTCTACTTGGGATACAAAATATATCAGAATAATAACAAAATACATAATGAAACATAATATAAAAGGATACATGTATTACAACAATAAAAGCACAACACTCAAAAAAAATTGCACAATAACCTCAGTTCTGAAACCAGTAGAAGGCACAGTAGCACAAATGTAATAAATACCATAAAATCTTTAAAACGACCTCCTTAACAACTAAAGTGTTGAGTAAATAAAAAGGTCTTCACCTGGTGCCAAAAAGAATAGGAAGAAGGTGCCAGGCAAACCTGTTTGGGGAGCTGATTCCAGAGTAGGGGTGCCACTACCAAGAACACCCTTCTCCTTATAGCCACCCTCTATTGTCATCAGATGGGGCTCTCTGGCAAGGACCTCAGATGGCAATTTTAGGGCTCAGGTAGGCATTTATGGGAGAAAGTGCTCCTTTAGATAACCTGGCCCCAAGCCATTCAGGGGTTTAAATATTAATGTTGACATTTTGAATTAGGCCCAGATTTCAATTGGTAGCCAGTGAAGTTTTCATTATTCATTGTTATTACATTACATTTGTACCCTGCTTTCATTCCTCTTGCAAGGAACTCAAGGTAGCTTCCAAGATTCTCCTCCACTCCATTTTATTTTCACAACAAAAATCATGTGAGGCAGGTTGTGTTAAGAGTCTGGGGCTGACCAAAGGCACCCAACGAGCTTCATGGCTGAGTGGGGACTAGAACCCAGACTTCCTGAGGCCCAGTCCAGTGCTCTAACCATTGCATCACACTGGATTTATGCTGTGATATGGATACTTACATATAAGCAATCATTAATTTCAGGTTTGTTTTTTAATAGATTTTTGTCACAATGATGCCCATGCTGGGTACAAAACTGAGTGTTATATAAAATGTTTCCATATAACTAACTTGGGAACATCATCCTTGACGACACCCACACCAAAAAAAAAAAAAAAAAAAGGTTTTGGGATCAACCGGAAGCTAAAGGACTGTCTCCAGTGCAAAGAGCATATGGAGTCTGTGAGAGCCAGTGTGGTGTAGTGGTTAAGAATGTGAGAGTGGGACTCAGAAGATCTGGGTTCGAGTCCTCTCTCATCCATGGAGCTCACTTGGCGACTTTGGGCCAGTCCCAGATTCATAGCTCAATATACTTCTCAGGGTTGTTGTGAGGATGAGATTGAGAAGAGGAAGAAAATTATGTAGGCCGCCTAGAGTTTCTTGAAAAGAAAAAAGGTGGGATAAAACCATATCCAATAAAATAAATAAACTGGGTATGAAAGAGAGGAGTACATTGAACTGGGAGAAGATTGATTAATGGGGGATACGACAGCTGTCATCTTGACATCGGAAGAGCTGCTGCGCAGCTAATGGAGCGGATTTGCTTGTAGTGGTTCCACAGGGCAGGATTAGAAGCCAAGGGTGGAAATGGCAAGGAAGCAGATTTTGGTTAAACAGTAGGGAAAAGTTTCCTCACAGTGGGAACTGTTCATGGAGGCAGCCCATGAGCCATTGTCGGGCCCCTTGTGAAAATACTGCAGGGAAGGTTTGCAAGACCAAGAAAGTCGGAAGAGGAGGGACTGGGAGGAGTCTCTGGCAGATACTAAGCTGAGAAAATCTCTAAATTGGTCTTGTTGGGAGATGAAGTGAACACTGGAGAATGAGGAAGGGGAGGTGACAGCAGTGGAGAACGTGGGGGAACTCAGGGAAACTACAGGCATGAGAAAGGGTGTTATTACCTTGAACTCGTAAGATTCTTCAATGATGACTTCGAGTTTGGGGTGCTCTCCTAGGCTGGGGCAGCCCATTTTCGCTATGATTTCTGCTTCTCCTTCAGGAATCCGGTTTTCATTGGTGTCGCCTGGAGTAGGATGGCAGTAAATTGACTGGTACCCAACATCCTACCCTCCCCTGCAGTCTCTCGTTCCTCCTCCATCTCTCTTTATTCTCAAGCCTTGCAAAACTGCCCCACTGGCAGGTCCCCAGTGCCTGAAGGTTCTGCTGCTTAAATGCCAGCTTTTCTCCTGATTCAGCTCTTGTGCCTTTTTGACATACAGAAATCTGATAAGCCAAGCCTTTTCTATTATTTTATTTCCCCACCATGTTTACTTTCTGCACATCATGTTGGTCACTTAAAACTGTAAGAGCAGGACCAAGAAATGATGTTTCCCTTTCCCTTCCCCTTCCCATACCCCACAGTATAGGAGATCTCTGGAAATGAGTCTATTACCTTATCAGTTCAGCATTGGATTTGCCTCTTGTCCAAGCTGGACAAATCAAGTTATTTCTGGTTCAATCTTAAATCTGTTCCATTCCATTTCTACATCAATCTGTAACATTTAAAATGCACAAAATGTGCATTTATTTCTCCCTTAATAAGCATATCTTGGTACATAATTTTTAAAGCTGTTAGCTGCCTCTTAACATTTGGAGAAATATGCAATTCCAAGAGTAACTTGGCAGAATCCAGTGCGGTGTTTATTCCCCACTGATTCCCTTATGCAAGTGATGGATTCCACCAACTTTGTTACACAATTTGGACCCATCATTTCCACGAGGGGGATTTTGCACTTCATCGGAGAAGCCCCAAAATGGGTAGGAATGCTAGTTTCTGGAAAGAGGCAGGGCATGAAGCTGCCTTATGGAAGCTCTGCAGACCCAGCTTCTTCCAGAATTGTGCCTTTCTGCTCATTCTGGGTTCCTCCAGAAGCACGACATCACTGTTGTACAAGAGAAGGTGGCCGACATGTAATGGAATTGGCTCTAGGGGCCACCACAGTGAGTACCTGGCACTTTGGAGTCACACCACTGTTCTGCCCGGTGCCACATTCCATTCCCTTCCTTCCCAGGTCTCTGTGCTTACCGTGCCGTGGGCCTGTGTCCAGCAGCTCTGGTAGTCCCAGTTCCAGGTGGAAGTTCTTGTTTTTCTCGTATTCCTCATCATCGATAATTTTAATTTCAATGTATTTCCTGGGGGTGAGAAAGAAGGCCCCTTTCAGGGAAGTGAGGAATACAAGGTGATTCCTCACCCACACTTCCCAGGAGTGGTCATGCTAAAGTATCAAGCCATTTTCCCCAAGTCAGGGCCAGCTTCAGGTTTTGGGGGGCTCATGGACAAGTTCCCCTCCATCCTCTCTCCATAGTGAGGGTCCTTGTTATATTGTAATAATTTTCATGTGATTTCACAGTCTTTCAACAAAAGTGAACACCTGCTGAGAATACAAAACAAGAGTAGAACCACAAACACATGTACAGAAAAAAGGGGAAAACCAAGCCTAACCTAACCACACAAAAACACACCAGCCCCCCCCCCCGCCCCGTGAATTGGCCTGCTCACCACCCTGGTCACCTGCTGAATCTCTTCCTGCTGCCCCTTCCTCACCTCTTGTTTCCATGCCAGGCAGAGAGCTGGGGGGCAAGAAAGCTGGGGCATCTGTTGCTCCGCTTTCTCACCACCCCTGGGGAATTGGGCAGGGCAAGCAGCTGGGGGGAAGGTCGCCTTGGGGAAGGGGAGGAGCGGCTCCAGGGAAGTCTGGTCTGTGGGCCCCTGCCAGAGTGGATCCCTCAGCAGGGGCCCAGTCATGCTGGTCCTGCCCAGCAAAAGGCACTTGCTGCCTTTTCTTTTTCTCCTGGTTCTGCTGTTAGGCTTCTCACTGGAGCCTGACAAATGGGAATTAAGCAGGCAAAGCTCTGTTTGGCAAGGAGATGAGGAGAGGAAAAAAGCATCGTCGGCTTAATTTTCGCGTAGCGGGCAGCTGCTGAAGATGCGGGAGAGGGGCCAGTGGCAAAAAGAGCGCTGAAGCTTCCCCCAGTAACCTCTCCCAGCGTCTCACTGGTGTTTTCCCCAGCACCAGAACAGCTTATGCAGCTTTTCCACAGCCCCATGACCTCCCTCTGGCCAAGCTGCAACCCCACGTAGCACCTTTCCCTAACCCAGCATCCTCCACAGGCATGATGTTGGGAGCTATAGTCCAAAGTAACCAGGGTGGGAAAAGGTGCTCCGTAGTCCCTTCCAACCAGGCCAGGAAGTCTGGTCCCACTTGTGCTGACAGTGGCCTAGGAGAACGGATGGTCCTAAGGGAAGATGGGTGCCCTTTATTGGCTTGATAGGGTATATCCCATCTTCCTCTAAGAAACCCAAGGCAGCAGATGTGATGCTCCTTCTCTGCAGCATATTCTGACAACAGCCCTGAGGGGTAGGTCAGGCTGAGAATCAGTGAATGGCCCAAAGTCACCTAATGAGCTTCATGGCTAAGTGGGGACTAGAACCTGGCTCTCCCCAGTCCAGCACTCGAATTGTGACGCTACACTGGGGTTGCTTGGACTGCACTGTTTCTCTACTTTATATGGCTTTTTATTATTTACCCCCATCTGAACCATGTGCCATAGACACAGACGCCCCTGCAAACTGCTGACTTTCCCTCAAAATGCAGAGGAAAGGTGTCGCACCTCCAGTGTCCCTCTTGAATAGCAGCCCGCTGCACAGAGCTTTAATGGGCAACGGGATGGAGAGAAGAAAAATAATAAAAGATTTCCTGATTTCATTTCCCTGTGCTGCTAAAAGATGTCGGAGCAGAGCCACTTATGTGCAGCTGCTCATTCTGAAGGTTCGCTCAAGCAAAAGCCGTGAAGCTGGTTTCACCTTTCCCAGGAAGAGGCGATGGTTCCAGCTAGCTCGCATGCACACCGCCTGCAGCCTTTTCTCCCACGCTTAACTCACGTCTGCCACCCCACTCCAGGTCGCACTTTTGCCCCCTCACTCACTCGCACGCGCCTGCTCTTGCGCGCTTCTGCTGAGCCACACGCGTGCCGGCTGAAATCCGCTCTTGCCCGCACCGTCTCCACCAGCTCGTGTCCCGCCAGCCCCTCTCACCCCTGCTCTTTCCCGCTTTCCTGCGTGTGCCTTTGGCCAGATGTGCCACTCATCTTCACCCCCCCACACACAACTACACCACCGCTCCCCCCCCCCCCCCCGTTCAATTAGGTCAGCGCCTGTCAAACCGAGAGCTGGAGGTTGCCGCAGTGATGCTTGGCGGGTGAAAGATTAATATTTCCAGAAATTAATTCCATGTGTCTGATGGAGCCGGAGGGAAAGCAGGGGTGGGAGAAGCGGTCGCGGGGAGAGGTTAGGGCAGCCAAGCAGAAAATGATGAGGGGAGGATTTCTGAAATGGACGGATGTGTCTGTGCTTTCATCTGCGCATCCCGAAACTGGCTTAGCAATGCCGCTTCTAAAGTTTCCTCCTGGAGAAAAGGCGCAACTGGGGATATGCAGCGTGCTTCATCCCGTGTAGCTAAAATCAGCATGATGTGCAGTAAACATGCTGTTCCCCATGTCTTCACTCTTGCCAGGTGGAGCTCTCAGGCAAAATCTCAGCGCATGTCAGACAAGGTTTAAAAGGTACAGAAGAAAGATGATGGCGGGGCGGGGGAATTGTGAAAAGGAGCTGGACTAACATTTCCCGCAAGCAATATGGGGGAACAGGGCAGGGACGCAACTTACAAGTGTTCATACAGAAAAAAGGCCTTGCCATGCTGGATGTTGCAGACCTCTTTTCTGCCTAAACATGCATAGGATTACTCTTTCAATGAATAAAGAATATAATTATGATGTTTTCTTGTGGTGCCATCAGCATAAGACTTTGGGGCAAAAAACAAGGTTGCCGCTCAGCAGAATAGGCAGTTGTGTGCGCCCTCCCTTTCCTTAAAGAGCAGCTGCAGGGCTGACTCATCACATTTCAACGGAAGTAGAGAAATACCACAACTATTTAAAGACGGTAATTTGGACTGGTAATTGGAAGATCCAGGTTTTGGTGCCCAGTCAGTCACGAAGGTCACTGGGTGCCTTTGAGCCAGTCACCAATGTTCAGCCTAGCCTACCTTGCAGGGGTGTTATGAGGATAAAATGGAAGAGGGGTTATCTAAGCCACCTTTGGTCCCTTGCAGGAAAAAAGTGGGATAGAAATACAATAAATAAATCTCTCAAGAGGATGGTGGAGTAAAACCGTTAAGTCCCATGTCTAAGAAACCTTAACTACGACACTGATCTTTTGCATGCTGCCTCTGATACTTGAGCCATCAGGAGTAGTCTTCATCCTTAGCGTTCCCTTTCATGAACGGCTCCAATTCCCTTGCAAAGTCCTCTGGCTGGTAGCCATCTCCACATCATGTGGAAGTGAATTCCATCATTCAGCCGTGTGCTATATAAAGAAGCCCTCTCTAAACTTCCAGTGGTCTTCCTTCGTCCTAGGGGAACGGCTCCCACCCAGTGATTCCTTTTGGTTCCTCTTCTCTGCCCTTTTTTCCAACTCTGAATGGTTCCACAACCAGATCTAGCCTGCTTTGTTTTTTTAACAGTGGCTGGCGGTAGCTCTCCAAATCTGTCAGCATTAGACCTTTCTCCTCACCTGCTACCAGATCCTTTTAAGCAGAATTGCAGGGGATGGAACCCAGCATCTTCTGCCCACAGAGCACATTCTCTGGCAATGAGTTAAGGCCCATCACTGACTCTTTGCCCCCTTTGATTGAGGCCCCCCGCTTTTTCCCCTTGTTCCCTTCCTCAGCTTGACCCTGAGATGAAAGGGCATGAACTGGCCCCTTCCATGGAAATTCCCTTAGAGCTGGCCCTCCCACGATGCAAGGTAAAGGCCACCATTCAGCTAGTGCCCCACACACGTCATAGCAAGAGAGCAGCCTGGCAGTGGGCTCCCCACAGCAGCCACCCCTGGGGTCCTCTCCTCTTCTGAGAGCCCAGCTGACTAGAATGCCAGGCTCAGAGAGGCTCCCAGAGGAAGGATCTCCCAAGAGAGCGCCTTTGCGACTGGCAGTCTGTTCTACGGACAGACAATAAGTTGTACACTGGGGGTCCACTTCTCTCTTGAAGTAATGTGGTACGTTTATTCTTACTCTTACTGCTATGGTTTTCTATCCTCCCCGCACCATTCTAGGCCTTTAGGGCACTCCACAGCTGCCTTTCCCCACCTGGTTCACAGGCTGCATTTTTTCAGAGCTCATACCACAAAAGAAAAGGGTGGCCATGTGCCTCCAGAGAACAGAGAACTGGCGGGGTCCTTTTTTTGAAGGGTTATCTGGTGCACATCTGGTTTAGAGAAAGATTCACCTGGCCAGCTGGCTGGGAGGTGCACCTGGCCATGGCCCTCCCTATTATGGTGAGATGGAGCTTTTCTGCATGAGGGATTTGTTGTGCAGCTCTCACCCCCTGCTCATGCTTGTTCACAGGTTTTTTATCTGGTTATACTTCTGTCTTTTAAACACCATGTTTGGAAAGTGTGTGTGTTTTTTTTAAGAAAAATAAGGTATTATTTAAAGAAGTTGAAAGAAAATGCTATTTCCCTTTGTGTTTGTGCTATTCCGCTAAACCACAGTGCCACCTAGAGGTTATGTAGCAGATAAGCAGGAAATGAAATGTTCTTCAGGTGGAGCTTAGATCTCGGCTCTGCAGTGGAAGCAAAAGCAGATACAGCAGATGGATGGCCTCATGTAGGAAAGTGCATGGGTTGTTGAAGTCATTGCTTCTAAATTTGCATCTATTCATGTTAACAAGCGTATGCAGATTTTATGCAAATCTGTGGTCTCTTGTGTCTTTCCTTTTTTTTTTTTTTTTGGTGGTGCATTTCTGCTTTCTCAGTAATGCCTAAGTGACCTCCCTATGGTGAACACAGCAAGATTTATTCCAGAGCAGGCTGGCTGCTCTAAAAATGTCATGCCTGTCTTCACCCCTGTCTTCTTTGCATGCTTATTAAAGACATTTCTCACCTGCTTTTCCAGCAAATTCCTATGGCAGCCTATCCTCCCCCCGACTGAAACAGATTAAAAACAGCAAAAACCTATAAACAACCTACTAAAAGCAGTGGAATTTTTATTATCACAGAGCAGTGTAAGACTGAGCAGAGATAAAACAGAGTGAAGGCTTAATTCAATTAGGCCTCCAAGCTGGGGGCATTAAGGCCATCCCATTCAAGCGAGGAGGATTGTGGAACGAAGGGTGTCCGGCAGTGCGGTTTCAGTGCAGGAGGTGCCACCAGGATATATAACTTGGCAGTGTTGGCCTCCTCCCATTAGAACCTCCACAAGTCCCTTCCTGGAGTCTCTTTTTGGACCTCAGAGAAGCCACATTCTTTCCAATGCCTGCCGCACAGGGATGGAGGGGAATGCGCATTGCGCACAGATCTGCAGGTCTGGGGCAGACTCTTTTCTGACCTTGTAGCTGGAAATGCAAATGTGGCATTGTGACATTGTCTGGGAGGTGTAGGATTGTGGCAGAAATCACACACTTGGAAATGGTTGTTTGCAGTATTTGGCTAGTGCTGAACTGAGAGTAGAGTAAGCGTGATTTAGGGTGGCCGTCTTTGTCTTTTGCAGAGGACTGTCCACTACTTGAAGAATGGCCAGGTGACCTTCTATACCAGAAGCTTCCTTGTTTTGAAAGGCTGCTCCATCCAGTTCCAGTTTTAAGATAAAGCTTGCCCGTTATCCAGAGCACAGCAGATTGAAAAGGCAAGTCCATTGGTCACCTGGTTATAATCTTCCACATTATGATGAGATGTGCTGTATTGCTATTTAAATCATAATAATTATTTCTGAATCTGTATTTATACATATGAATCAGCATGTGCAAGGGTAAAGCTGAACTTGAACTGTCCTGCCCTGCCCTTTCCCTCTCTCTTTCTCTGTCTTTTTCCTGCAAGGGATCCAAGGCCACATACATGTTCTTCCTCCTCTCTCACTTATGGTCACAACACCCCTGTAAGGTGGGTTAGGCTGAAAGGCAGTCACTGGCCCAAACTCACCCAGTTCACCTTCTGGCTGAGTGAAGACTTAGAATCCAGATCGTCCGAGTCGGACACTCGGAACCACCAAGCTGCACTGGCTCCCCTACTGGCATCATTAATGGGCAAATGTATACACATGAAAACTGTCGCATTGCAACCCACATGTCCCATACAGCCCTGTTTGCTACGCCTGGGAAACACATTCGGGTACTCAGTCTGAACGCAAATGTCATCAACTGTGTAGGTGATCTCTTCACGTTTTTTGTTTTGGTATTATATAATGTTTTCAGTTGTGTCGCTTGCATTGGCTGGGGTGCGTCATTACAGGGGGGTAATCAGCCATGGTGAATTATTACTGGCTTGTTATGTGGACATGGCTTGTAAGTGCTGCAGGCAAGTGGCCACCCAGAACCCTACAGCCCCCTATGCCCAGATTCACGCTGCAACAAACTGTCCTACGGAGGGTAGTTATGTGCATCTCCTCAGCGCATGTGGAGGAGGGTGAAACGACTCATTGTGACCTATTTCCCTTCCACGATTGTGTGAACTAAGTTACATATATTTAGATGTTTAATTATAGGTCTGTTGACTATAAATCAGCATATGCAATGTTTATGTGAATCACAGCCCTCCTTTGGTGATGCATTTCCCTTTCTTTGGGGTGATCCCTCAGTGGCCATCCCAGCTCTCCCAGAGGACCACATGCCGCAATGGTGGTGGAACCGCCAGGAAGGCCACTGCCCTATGAGCAAGGGTCTCTGCAGATTTTGGGGGGTGGCCTTGCGCCCGACACCTTCAGTAGGTGCACTTCCTCCTTCGCACCCTTGCAGAAATTATCTCTGCCTGTTTCACCTGTTCCCATCCCCAGGCCCAGTCTGCCTACAGCCCAGGTAGAAGAGGCACTGCAGGTGGGAGCTGGGGCTTCTTCTGTGTGTTCCCCTTGCTGTTCAGTCACTCAGGGAAGGTGAACAGACATGGACACAAAGGAGGGAGAGCAGCGGGACCAGGAAGCTTCAGGAGCTGGCAAAGTCCCACCTACCAGCACGTGGACCATGGCAGGTCCCCAGCAATGCTGGCAGTTCTGCTTCAAACAGTTGCACACAACTCTCCTCCTCACTGCTCATTGTCAACTTCCGTGCATACTTTCCTTCCCTCCCAACCTCAACGGTCACTGCCCCTTCCAGCTGGCCATCTTCTCCCACACACAGCATTCATCCCCATCATCTCACCCCCCCTGCCCCAATTCCCCCATCTCTTACATGGTCTCGTCATTCTGGAACTCCACTTTGCCAGCCACCTCCTCGTAGTCCTCTCCGGCCTTTGCAGTGCCCTCGATGGTGTGGAAGGGGATGGCCACTCGCCCACGAGCCCCCGAGGTCCTCAACACTTTGATGCGCACGGTACCCACACTCTCGCTCACCCGCATAGAGGCCCCATCAAAAGTAAAGATGCCGGCATGGTCATCGTCGAAGATTGTGACGGTTGCCTTCTTGGAAGGCCCCAGGCAGGCTTTGGGGTGAGGTTCAGGACTCGGCTCAGCCCAGGTGGCTCGCACATTGCTGAGGTGGACGTAGAAGTACTCATCCTCTTCAAAAATGTCATCATCAATTATTCCAACCCTCACCTCCTTGTGGGTCTCGCCAGGCTTGAAGAGCAGAGTGCCCTCTGCAAACTCATAGTCCGAACCTGCATTGGCCGTTCCATCCTCCGTGCGAAAGTCCACTCTCACCGTGACACGGGCCGTGTCCCCTCCTCTCCGGGCCACAGTCAGCACCACTGAGCCACAGTTCTCAAAGCACTGATAATGTGCTGGCTCAAAGCCCACTTTGATCACTGAGTCGTCCTCTTCTGTGTGTACTTCTTGCATGCTGATGGCTTTGCGGGCCTGGTCGGCTGCATGTTTCTTGAGGATGTTCCCCGCCCCGATCATCATTCGAGTGGCCTGAATGCGGTAGAAGGCCCGGCTCTTCTGCTGTTGGACCAGCACTTGGTAGTTGGCCATTTCAATTAGCTGCTCCATGTCCTTCTCTGGATGTTTTTGCTTGAGGTCCCTCAGAGTGCGTGCCATCTCATGGCGGGCCTCATCATCTTGGTCCTTTCCACCATCCACAAGGCCTTCGGATCCTTCCTTTAGTGAGTTATCCATCTCCATGTCCAGTTTTGGATAGCCAGTGTCGCCTTCCGTCTCGATAATGAGGCCTCGGGCCTTGTCGGCACGGTACTTCTTTTGGACGTACTTGTAAAAGAGGAGCCTCCGGTCCGCCACCCAAGCCTGGACCACGCAGAGCGGGAAGAAGAGAAAGGTGAGGAGACCTTCCCACAATTCTACCACGCCTGGAGAGAACCAGGCGAGGATGAGGTACAGCCAAATGTAGGCAAAGATGCTCCATGCGGCAGTGACAAAAAACACCCGCAAGTGCTTGATGCGCCGTACCTCTCCCTCTGGGACCACGTGGACACAAACGGCAATAATGATGAACATGTTGAAGGCGGCACTGCCAACAATGGTGCTGGGCCCCATGTCTCCTGCGTTGAACCCATGGCCAACGATCTCAATGATGGAGAGGAGGATCTCAGGTGCTGAGGATCCCAGCGCCATCAGGGTCAAGTTGGAGACAGTCTCGTTCCAGATGCGGATGGTGGTGGTGGTGGTCTCTCCGTTGGGCTTCTTGATGGTGATCTCCTTCTCCTGCGAGGTGATGACCTCAATGGAGGCCATGAAGCGGTCGGCAATGATGGACATGCCCAGGAACATATAGATCAAGGCCACAAAATACACAATGGCCCGTGCCACTTTATCACCCACAGAAGGGTTCTGGGGGAGCCACACTGGCAAGATCACGCCTTCCTGGCACTCCGTGATCTCCTGGCACTTGGCGCTCTGGTTGCCGCCGTCTGGAGTCACAGCCCCAGTCCCAGCGGGGCCCATGTGGTCATCCACTGTTGCCAGAGGCGAGGGGAGGAACAAAGCCAGCAGCAGGGCGGACGCCTTCAGCCGAGACAGGCGCGGCATGGTGTGGAAGACAGCGCCTGTTGAGAAGGGAGAGCGTTACTGGCAAGGTCCTGGCTGGCATTTCAGTCTCTTCCCCAGCAGAGCTGAAATGGCCAGGCGGCAGGCAATCTGGGGGGCTCTGGAGAGGAGGCGCTGGGCAATCGCATCAAGGGTGATGGCTAACATCCGTGGCTCTGGCATCTAGTTGCCCAATTACATCCTCACAGCCCACAGCCCAAATGCTCGGAACTCCAGGCTCACCTGAAGCTCCCCTTTCCCAGGCCTTTGTGCAGTGGCGACAAGGTGAGGTTGGCCAGCCCACTGGTGGGAGGACGAGTCATGGTGCCCCTCCAGCGTCTTTTCTGGGCCTTGAGCTGCCTGCTAGGAGCACCGAAACTATCGGTGGAGCAAGTTCTGGAGGAGTCAAAGCAGAACCAGACAGGGCAGGGTTGGCGTGATGAGGATGGCCATGAGGCATCTCTCTGGAGGGCTGTCAGGGTGCGGTTCTCTGCATAAGGAGTCTCCTATTTGGATGCTGCGCAATATACAGGAATATGGTGGCTTTGAGGAATTTGGGGTAGGCTGAGTTTTTAGACCTCAGTACTGGAGACCAATAGCTTTTCCTGGGCTGGTGGCTTCCCTGAAATAGCTATGGAACTCCCTGCTACCTCCAGAATTTGTGTAACCCTGGACTATGGCTCCCATCATTCCCAGCCAGCCAACTTGCTTCCAAGTGGTTGAGGATGGCTGGTATATCTGCTTTCAGTCTCTGAATTCGGTTTCCCCCTCCCTACTCCCTCCCCCTCCCTCCCCCCCCCCCCCCCCCCACACACACACACACCACCACCACCACCACCACCACTTATCCAAGAACAGATTCTGTGTTTAAAGGGTTTTGTTTCTTACATTTCCAGAATTCTTGAATAAAGTGCTTCCAAAAAGAGACTCTCCTAGCCTTCCTCCTTCATGCCTTTTCTGCCAGAGGGGAAACAGCCCCCTCTCCTCCCCCCTCCCCTCCTACGCCACTGCCACCAACTGATGCTGATAAATACGTTCCATTCCCCGGGCCTGTCTCAGGCCCAGAAATAGAAGGCAGGAGCTATTTTCTGCCTCTCCTCCACACACACGCACATTCTGATGGCACCAAGGCAAGATCACACCCCTGTGCCCCCCCTTCATTAATCCAGAACAACTCCGCGCTCTCATTCAATATTTGCCGTTACTGAGATGGATTAGAATCCTTAACCTTCCCATAAATATCCACTGAAAGGAAGCCGTAGGAGGGAATGATACACCTTTAATCGTCCTCCTTTTGTTTTGGTAGACTTCAAACTGAACTACTTTTTCATTTTCAGTTTTTACTAGCACCCCAAGATCCCCTGACTGAAACCAGGTGCAAAAGACATTCATAGAAAAGTTTTTAAAATGTTGGGCAAAGGAATTTGTTCCGAGTATGAGAACTGAACAAGACGTAAGGTTTTTTTGCACAAAAAATGACACCTGGTCACCGCTACCTTTCTTCCTTTCAGCACTGTACCTTTGTTGAGTATGTGTACCTCCTTCTATCCTTGTGATTGCGAAATGATTAGGAGTTAGAAAACTTTGTGGATCTATGGGGAATTATGCAGAAATCACTCAGAGCTGACCACTCCACTCTCTGCCTCTTTAGTCCAGGAGTGCAGAACCGGTGGCTTTCCAGATGTAGAAGGACCACAATTCCCAGCAGTCCTAGCTATTGACTGGGGCTGATGGGAGCTGGAGCCTAAAGCTTGCCCATCCTCCGTTTTTAAAATGAGGCCAGGATCTGAGAAAGCTGGACAGTTTCCCCCTGGCCCATCTCTTGTTATATTAAAAATGTGGGGTCACCCCAGTAAGAGTCATTGGCACGAGATGCAGCCCAGGCACAAGAGCACTGCTTCACCGCAGGGCTTACAATAGCGGTGCTCAAACTTTGTTTCTGGCCACACAGCGCACAGCAGACCACTTCATAAAAACATTTTCTTGGTCCTCAATCCTGCATACATACGTATCTTAGGCTTCCCCATCCTGATGCCCTCTAGGCAACACCCATCATCAGTGCCAGCACTGGTTGCACTCGCTGGGGATGACGGGAGTTGTAGGCCAGTACTTTTGGGGGCCCTCATGATGGAGGAGGCTGTAAACACGATTTAACAATTCTTGCCTTGCCATTTCCTCTCTCGTTCTTGTGGGTGGAGTGCTGCCAAGTCAGCTGGTAAGGAGAACAGAGTAGCTCTTCCCAGCATCTTACTATGAAAATGTAAGGGCCTTGTTAGCCTGTTTGATGATCTGGCCCTCATCCAACTAGCCTTAATCTCCAGGATCAGAAAGTTTGTCTGGGGGAAAATCAAAGGTAGGACCGAGTACAACTATTTTTGACTAACCCACAACCTCCCCTGAATAGAGGTTGAGGAGTAGCAGTGGCCCATAAACACCATTTGGGACATATGGCTCTGACATGTGGCTTATACTGGCACAAGAATCCAGAACTGGATAGCTTTGAAAGCAGGTTAATCACATTAATTGAAGATAAGTTCACTAATGGGCATTAATCAATGGGGCCCATGGGAAGCTTCCATGTTTAGTGGCAGTCCACCACAGAATACCAGTTTCTGGGAGAGAAACACTGAGAAGAGGGCAGGAAGCTGTTGCCCTTTTGGGCTTCTCAGGGATGTCTGCCTGAGGCCGCCATGGGGGAGACGATGCTGGATTTGGTGGACCTCTGTCTCACCTTGCAGGTTCCCCGGTTGTTTTGGTGCCACTGTCCTTCCTTTGCCAGCCCAGGAGCTGAACATGGTCTGCATGCAGAGATGCTGTTTGCAGATGACATCCTCTCCTCCCAAGTCTGTAGAAGTTAAGGGTGGTTGCAGTTTGCTCTTGGTGTGCGGGCATGACAGTTAAGGGCCATTGACGCAAAACGCCAATGCACGGCTTTCTCATTGTCTCCCCACAGCCCCACCCTAGCTGCAGATTGCAAATGCTACCCATTTCAGCTCTGTAATAAATAATACAAGCAGATTTGCTGTAGGATGAAGCCTGCTATAAAGCATCATTCGATGGCGATCCTCTACCTGTTCGCCTGGGAGTACACCCCACTGAACCCCGTGGGAGCAACTTCTGAGTAGGCTCACGCAAAATGGCCCTGTCACTCTTTTAAGAAAAGAAATTATGGCTAGCTTGCAGAAGCATTCTTTTTCAAGAGCCAGATCAGGAGAAGAGGCAATTACAGAGTTAAACAAGCCCTTTGGGATACGTGGCCAGACCTACGGCTCCTCAGGTGTGGAGAGCAGAAGAAACAAATCAAGCAGGCGGCATAAAAATAAAATGTTCCCGGTTCCTACATCTGCAGGCAAGCCTTGTACTTTTAAAGCTCCATGGTTATAGGGCTGCCAGGGGCGAAGGCACTTTATGAATGCTAAAATATTAATTTAAGCATTAACCAAGCATGGGTTTACATTTGATTGCCAGGCATGGGAATTGGGCAGTGGCAGAGAGGGAAATAAGCAGATGCCACGCTTGGGGAAATCAACCCAAGTCTCAATCCTGTTTCAGCTAAGAAACGGGAGGGAGACAAATTTCTCCAAAGTTGTGCCTTGGTTTCTCTCCCAGCCTTCTCTAGCCTGCTGGTCTCCAGATGTTTGGAACTACACACTGCATCCTTAGTGGAAGTCATAGTCCAAAAGATCTGGAGGGCACCGGCTTGGCGAAGGATGTTCTAATATCTTTCCCCCACCCATTCTGGGGAGGAGGAATCTTGGGGGGTAATTATCAGCTTAACCTACCTCCCAGGGTTGTTGTGAGGATGAAACAAAGAGGAGGAGTCATGAGCTTGCTGCGAGTGCATTCCCCTTTCAACTAAATACAGACAGTCCCAACACAAGGGTGTATAATATTTATAATTTTAAACTTTTGTTAACCGCCCAAGGAGCTTTTGGCTACTGGGCAGTATAAAAAGGAAATAAATAAATAGCAGCTCTTCCAGGCTGCGAGCATTAACGTGATGCATTGATTTCATATTACTAGTAAGTAGATTACAAGATTACAGAAATGGTGGCATAGTCAAAAAGATGCCCAGATTTAAATAGAAAGAGAATGTAAAGTGCTTTGTTGTGTCTTATCCCAGCAATCCTTAACAATGACCCTGTAACAGGATGGAATCACTATGACAGGACTTCAGAGATTGCAGAATTAGGGGGATTTAATTAGATTAGGAAGAAAGAACAAGTGGGAACGGTGCGAAGATGCAACTTGTTCCCAGGGCTGGCTCTGCCATTAGGCAGGGTGAGGCTGGGACGTGGCAACAGAGTGTTGGAAGGGAGAGCAGTGAGCCACGCAGCCCAGTGTGTGTCCTCAAGCTTAGTCCGCTGGATGCTGCTGCCCATTTCCCAGCACCGAGGAAAGATTCAACTGCCAGCCTTAGCACGTGGAGAGCGGTTAGGAAAGCAAGTTTGGGGCCCCAAAGCGGGCCCCAAATCTTTCATTTGGAGTCCCAGATCTCTGGGAGACCATCTGCCCCATCACCCTGCTGTCCAGGGGCCTGCTGTGCTTCTTACCCCGATTCCAGATGATTTCCGAAAAGCAGTCCCTCATCCAGCACCTGTAGAGGACCGAGGAGCAGCCCTGACTCACTGGGCAGGATGGGATGGGGCAGGCATACAGCCTCCTCCTTCAACAGGTTGGCTTCCTTTAGTGGTCCCAGGTTCTGTCTCTCTCCCAATATGTTGCTGTCCTAACTCGGCCCTTGTGCCCATTTGGCTGGGCAATCTGGCATTGTAATCCCCATCATTAATCCACCGCTGCTATTTGTACTGGGTCATGGGGGTAGTGAGGAGGAAAACTGATCTCCCCCCCCCCATTATTCTCCTCCTGTTTGCCCTTCTCCCATCAGGAATGACTCTATAAAACTCACTTTATGGGGATACTTTAACTGTAGCTCTAGTTAAATCACTCCTTGTTTAACCAGCCCAGCGTTTTTCTCCTTGCGAGTTCTTCCTTTCCTGTTTTCTCTGTTTGTCTCTCTAACACCCAAATTAGCCAGTTTGGGTTTGCCTTTTTCATTCTTTAAAAATATAAAAACAAAGAACCTGATTTCCCTTTTTTCAAGCATTCCTAGGATGGTAACCAACTGATTTCTTCCGTGGCCTAGGAGGGTCAGACCTCGAGTGCAAATAAGATCCTATAGAATGAATGGTATCTGGGTGTGGGGGGGATTGGAAAACTCTTAGATGGTAATATATATTGTACGTCACTTAATTTGTAAGTAGGCAAGCCAGCTTTGCTGCTAAGTCTGGGGCCCTCCCGCTCATTCTGCTGAGGAGGGTTGATAGCATTTGCCCCAAAGTCCTGTTCTGATGGTACTGCTGCAAAGCCTGCTGATTTAGAAAGCAGGAGAGTGTTCTCTCTGCTCTTTTAGTATGTGACTCCAAACATCACGGCCGAATTTGTGTCTGTCTGGAGTGGTGGGGAACGTGGCAGAAGCCTTCTGTCTCTCAGGCTTTCATTGCGTGTACATTTTACTTTATTACTAGTCTCTGCTTGTTACTGGTGCAGTGGGTATGCAGTTTCCCACAGAGCTACTTACACTGGAAATCCAGCAAGTGGGAAGCAGCAAGATCTGGGAAGGAAATGGAAGGACGGGGTTCAATTGTGGAGGACACTCGCATTGGTGTGTGAACCTTTCTTTTGTGAGTTCTGAGGCAAAGGGAGGACATGGACAGGCATATGGTTTGTGAGAATGGGCAGCCCAGGGCTTGTGAAAAGTGCCCTCTGTGGATGGGCAGGTATGTGCTTCCGGAGTCCATGCATCTGTAGTAAATCAGCAGCTCGAGGGCTGGGTTCAGACGACAAAGCTTGACCATGGGCTGTGTGTGGGTTTTGTTGAGCCATGTTCCTAAGCCCAGTTATGCTAGCGAGGCATGGCTTGGTAACAGCAAACAACCCATAAAGAGAACCCCTGGTTTGTTTTTGGGCTGGGAACTAT